TACACATGTCCGGCACCATTGCCACATGCTCGCCATCCAATCTCTACCCCTTAACCATCCTTTCCCACCCACCCACCGAAACCCTCCCCACACCCCTCTCCACCAAAAACCCTCCACGCGATCTCGACCCCGCCCCCAACATCTCGAATCCCTGACGCACCACCGTCATCGCCCGTCCCCTGCCGCCCTAGCGCCATGTTTCAAACCCCATTTCCATGTCGTCAGCGGCGTCCCCCCTCCCCCCCCTTTCTCATCCCTGCAGGCATCGCGTTATCCAACCCCCCCCCCTTCCCGAGAAGCGAACAAGGCTGATGATGGTCACCTCCACCTTCCCTTCGCGGACAAGCGCGCCAACACCGTACTTTACTCTAGTATCGGTCGACGGGGGGACCGGAGTCAGGGTAAAGTATGTAGGTAGGTACATGAATGGTGTATGGTGTATATACATCGTGGCTGCTGACAGCGTTTTTGTTTTGCGGCTGCGGCTCCCTCGCGATGCAGGGAGAGGGTGTGATAAAAGGGAGGGGAGGGGGGGTGGGCATCGAGGCAATTGACAAATAATCAAATCGAATCAAAACCGTTGCGTCTGACTGGCCCAGGACCGAAAGCGAAAAGCGAAAAAGGACGCAACGCGGAGGTACCTATGTATGTAACCACCGTGGCAGATTTTAGAACCGGAGGGGGGGTTTTTGATTTTTCGCTCCCTCGTCTCTTTCCGGCGACTTGCATGCAGCAAGCCATAGGCGGTGCGTTGCGGTCTTTGCCGAATAGATTCGAATCAAAAAGTACGTACCTTACCTGACTTTTTACCCCCTGCATGTCAACATGTGTACCGGTCGATGGATTGAGGGTCACGGTTGGTACGTCGGATCCAGGTAGATACGAGTATGTATGTAGCGCCTGCTTTCTTATCTTTTGTTCTTCTGCCCGAGCGGCGAAATGCAACGTCGGGGGGCGGGCGGACGGACGGGGCCAATGAGGGGGCCAGCCCGCGAACGCCCTTTTATGCCGCACGGAGTTCAACGCGGACGGGGTGTGGAAACCTCGATGGGGGAATCGTCGTGATGGGGTTAGTGCGGTGCGGTAGGGTACTTTAGGGTGGAGTTGGTGTGGTGTGGTGTGGTGTGGTGTGAGTAGAGTAGAGCACGTGCGGCTTTGCGCAGGTTCGGCTCGGCCGATGCTGGTTATCGATATGCTCGTCTATGCGAAACGTTGAGCTGACGATGGAAAGGAAACTCTCCCCGTTGTGAAGTACCTTGTTGGTCTTCCGGACTTGTGCGAGATCTGCGAGCGTTTTTTGGCCCAGTTACCGTGGCCGTCAGTCGCTGCTCCAATCGTCAAAACCGCATCGAATTAGGATGTCTCGATATTTTCTCGAACACCATCGGTATTCTTTCCTTCGGCACGCCCTACGGAGCGGCCGTAGACAGTCCAGAAAAAGGTATATTCACAGGCAGTATAGTGAAGCTCCATTCACGCTTGGCTGGGGCATCCGGCTTTTTCGCTGGGAAAACGAGGATTGATCTTCTTGAGGATCTGAAGCACAATTCAAAAGAACTTGAGGATACTTCTATATCGTCTGCCATCTTCTGTCAGGGAGTCTGAAAATAATCACGTTGTACGAGACGGAAGAAGCATTCCCCCCCCGCTTAGCAGATTGATATAAGACCCATCCTTCTGTGGCGGCTTAAAGCTTCCACGCCTACAACAAGCTAGTTGCATGCTATAGATTGTCGAGAAGGGTTCTGCAATCTTGGCAAGCGAGGGCGAGAAACTCATCTCCAGATTCGTGAATCACCGGCAGGTTTGTCGATTCAGGGGCCCTCCTGATCCCGACTATGCTGTGGTGTCCCAGGCGATATACAAACTCTGTAGAAGAGCTTGTTATCATCCCTGCACGTAGAGGCCGAACAACCTTTCTATTCTGATGCTGAAATGCTCATCGACAGCTCTGAAGGAGTCCGAGAAAGACGTCGTAAGACTTCTTAGAGACGCCGATGTTGATGACTACAGAGTCAATCTCCCGAATCCTGTCGACGGCACCTGCCAATGGATTCTATCAAATTCACAATTTGAAACGTGGATTGCGTCCGAAGAGAGTGCCCTTCTTTGCATCACGGGCTACTCAGGTTCTGGGAAAAGTATACTCTCAGCTTCGATCACCAACCATCTTGAGGGAAGGCACCCATCAGCTAGGCGGGAGCCTAGGTCTGCTCGTTCTTCTGTATCGAAGAGAATGAAAACCAAAATGACGCAGATGCAATTCTTCGCAGCAGCATCGCTCAGATCCTCGTAGGGCGTGGCTGAGCATGCATATATAGAAGGCTTCGACCAAGGCGACAGGTCTCTCTCGCTTGAATCAAGCAGTGTCGAGACAGTCTTATTGATTTGAAACTATTTGGCAAGGCTGATGCTTCACTAATACACCCAGCTTCTGCTGCCGGCTAATTCTGCTTATGTCCTGTAACGGTGGCTGGACATTTCGGAAACTCATTTCAATAGATATGATGAAAACTCTGTCAAACAACATTCTATCTACTTAGGCTCTTCTTGCAATTCTACCACCTCTACATTTCTTTCCCTCACATCCAGGCCATCCGCTTTTCGCCGCTGACCGGCAAACTTCCCTTCCAGCCCCAGCTTCTGTGTCGCCAGATTCCTAAGCCATATGACGCCCCAAACAATGCCAAAGATCACGCAGATAGCGATCAAGATTCCAAAACAATATCCAGTAACACGGCCGTTGCCCTTGCTGGGGTCTAGAAAGGAGTATGGATAGAAGCCTTCAGTGGCATGGGTAATGTAGGCGAGAGCAAGATAGCATGCTAGCAAGATGACCAGAAAGACTATGTGCAATGGCGGTGGCGGGCTGGTTCGTGGCAGCACAACCTCGACGAGGGCAAAGAGGCTGTTGAGGGCGTGTTGGGATATCTGTAGAAGAAGAACGAATTTAGCATCTATACACTCCCCGGCGAAGAACGCATGATGTATCTTACATTCGACCACCCTTCCTCCACGACCGGGAACCAAGGATCTTTATACAAAATGGCCCAAAACACCAGCGTCACCAGAAACGGGAACGTAACCACCGTTGAGTAGAATACCGCATGCGCAGCCTGCAACGGCCTCGGCCAGCTCCGCAGCCACGCTTGCCCCGTCCGCGCGTACGAAAAGGTGTGGAGGGCGCCGAAGAGGAGGTAGAACGCCAGGCCCCAGTAGGTCAGGTTGGTGAAGTAGGAGAAGGACTGCCGGGCGGCGGCGGCGAGGTGGTGGGCGTCGTCCCAGCCGAAGACGGTGAAGATGGTGGTGAAGGCGTAGACGGAGAGGAGGAGGCGGAGGGAGGCGAGCAGGAAGGGCGGCAGGAGCCAGGAGGTTGTGAAGCGGCATGTCGGGTCGAAGGGTTGGGGGATGCCGAGGAGGGGGTAGATCTTCGCCATCGGGGAGGTTTTCTCCTCTATGTGGGCGTGATGGAGGGAGGGTGGGTGTGTGTTCATGTACTTAGTCGTGCATGGTGTTCAAAATGAGCAAAAAATTCAGTTACAGAGGCTTTCACGATGGCAGCATGGTTGGAGGAATCCCGCAGCCGAGGAACTCGAAAAGCTTTCCAACTCGCGGAAATCCAGACTGGTGATATGGTGATAGAGTAGTGCGATGAGGCTGACAGGCTAACACCAACGACCGCGGCCGATCAAACGGCGTGCCGTGCCTCATTGTCCAATCATGGCAGTCCTACCTCGCAGCCAACTGTTCGCAGCCGTAGAATTCGAGACACGACAGTGCTTCAGCGGCGGTCTGCTGCCCTCGTGCCAATTCAGGACCGTAAAGGTTCTGAGACTTTCGTGCAACGGAGCCGCTCTCTCGTTGGATTTACATTTTACAGTTCCAGCCTTGTGGGATGATTAAGCGCCCCCCCGCATTCACTGGGGACTCGCACGACCGCTACTTTACGTGACGAACACCTGATCCTTTCGCTTAGTGTTGTATGTGCACAATATACATAGCTCTAGGTGAGTAGGAGACGGATCCTCGGGGGTTGTTCCACAGCCCGCCGGCGGACCTCATGGCGCTCACTATCACGACTGGCAACTTTGCAGCGTAGCGCAACAATCTACAAGGCTACCTACGGACCAAAGTGGTATGCAGTGTCGTGCAGTATCTTGCGCTGACTGCTGGGGTGTCCTGCACTCCCCCCGATGCAGGCCCCCTTATTCAGTACCTGTGGGATTTCGTACGTGTACACACTTGTTGGATACACGTACATTCACTCCCTCAGATCGGGTTAGTGTCCATGATCATCAGCGCGCTGAGGAAGAGACAGAAGTTATCCATCAGATTTCCACTCAATTAGATGAACAGATCTTTTTTCCTTCAGAGAGGAGTACTGTACATGACCTCGATTAGTATATCACACTTGCTTTTTTCTCTTTTGACGAGGCACTTCTCAGAAACATTGGTTCTCGAATATATACAAAAGGTGTGAGACATGTTTTTGATGCAGGTTAAAGAACTTGCTATGTTTGAAGGTATCTTAGTTCTACAGAGAACTGGTTTGACTTATTCAACAATCAGGGATGTGTGAGGGAATTTTCTTGCTGTGTTTTATGGCAATCTTACGGAAACCGGATGCGACTGCTTTGAGTGTTAAGAGTGTGAAAAATGGTTTTCGATGCAGGTCAAGTTGCTGAGCCAAAACTGCGAACACGAACCGGATCTGAGTGTTGTTGGAGGGTATTTAGTTCGTGTTAGGTTCGATTCCTAATCGCGCTGGTACAATGGTGTTGCGGTGCTTTTTACTCTCTCTGAGGGGGTGTACACGTATCGAAAAGGAGTGTACACAAATGAGATGGCTTATCTGCTGGCATGGCAGCCTGTTCACGGCAGCCATGCACGGCCCTTTCGAGGACTCCCATTCATCCTGGGAGAATTCCCACTCATGATTCGTATCCTTCGCACTTTTTGTCGTTGTACGTTAGGCATTGCAACGCATGCGGCCAGGCAACATGGTAAAGCCTGCACAGAATAGCCCCCCTCCCACCTTGGAGGACGCGTCAGGCATCACCAGCGAGCGTGAGCAGCTACTATTCCATAGAGACCATACTGGAGAATGGACGCACCGTGCCAGTACAGACAACGATGAGCACTCGACCCGATGCCAGGCTTGCGGGCGAGATGACGTTAATTCGACTTTCAGGCAGAAGTGTGCCCGAATCCTTGATTGCTCTTCCAGCGCATTTGACGCTGGCAGTCGGTACAGTAGGTACGGTAAGATCGACTCGTTCAGCCCTTGGTTCCCCGAAACCGATCCTAAAAATCCTCGAGCCCTAACCTGGATCAAGAAGCTTTCACATCGAGGAACGTCACTGTTCATACAGATAGTCATCTCGACTGCGGTACTCATATTCAACATCTCAGTGTTGATCTACGCTGTGACAAAAGTACGGCATATCCAATGGCTTTGGAGATGTGTATCAGGGACACTGCGGTTTGGTCGGAAGATATAACAATATGGTACACTTAGGTATCAATGTTGTGTCGACTCTGCTTCTGGGTTCCAGCAACTATTGCGCACAGCTACTGGCGGCTCCAACGAGGTCCGAGGTCGACATGGCGCACGACAAGGGAGATTGGCTTGATATCGGAATGCCGAGCCTTCGCAATTCGTGGAAGAAGAGAATCGCACGAAATTGCAAAGCTGCATGGACACTGTTCATGATCAGCTCAGTCCTCTTATATCTTGTATGGAACTCCGCCGTCTTCGCGGCAAAACCGTTTAGCTCGTACCGAATAGCAATCGTCACCTCGGACTACCTTACGGACGCCGGACCGTGGCCGACTCAGGACAATCAGACACTCTACATGCTTCGAAATACGGGATCGCTCTCCCATTTGAACAAAAGCCAATGCATTGAACGCTATATAAGCCCCAATCCTGGGCAGATGCACGTTCTGGTCGCCGCCGCTAACGTCACAATGCAAGATTACGCATCCCTGGCGGGCGGCAATGATAGCTCATCTCTTCTGTGCGAGTATGACAATTTTAATGGTGGGACTGACTGGATCTAGGCTCAAAGCCGGTTGTGTTCAGCATACGCGCAGCCCGGAGCCCAGCCTGGATCATGGTGCACACCCGAATTCCTCCTTGCCAAGGAGGTGGAGTGCACTCTAAAGGAGTACTCTTGGCTTAGAAATGGAGTTGTTGACATGTCTCTTTGGGTAAGAGTGGATCACCGTCTCAGCGCCGGGGTCGAATCATTCGACAGCCTTTGCAGTTTGCAATACAGCGCCCAAATCCTGCTCGTGGTTTGTATACTCAATTTGGGCAAGTGCGCTGCCATTTACTACACGGCCTATCTTCATAATCGAAGCGACACAAACCCCAGAGACAAAGCTTCACTTGTCACCGTTGGCGATGCTGCAGCAAGCTTTCTTGCGGAAGAGGATCTCACTACTGAACACCTATCATTTGCAAGCCGGGAGGAATTCACTGGGAAAAAGTGGCCTACTAAACGCTCGCCGAGGTTATATCCAGGACCGTCACGGTATGCCATGCCCTGGTTCAGAGCTGCTAGCAGCACCCGGTGGCTTGTGACCCTAGCACTCTGCGTTGCCGTTTCAGTGGTTGTTGCTGTGCTTCTTGCCAAGGGCATTGATGCACAACGAAATCGTGCCATTGCCGTGACTATCAGATCGATGACAGCTCATGGCCTTGGTACTACGCAACCATACGCCGCAGCATTTGGGACCCTTGCAAGACACATGAGCCAGCTTGCTGGTTTCTATGTCGCGACTCTGTTCGCGGATATGTGGCAGATAAGCAGGACAATTCGGTTCGTCTCATGCTCAGCATGGCTTTCATTGACTGCTTATTGGTAATATGCAGTGCACTGTACCTCCTGTACAACGGCCTATTAACCAATATGCTGGTTGCGGATGAATTGAACGACTTCATCAAAGAACGTTACCCGGAATGTGGGCCAGGCACTGAGCTGGACGTGCTTACGTCGACTAGTGGCTGCAAAGAAAATCACCGCGAACTACGTATTGATCTCGGACCAGCCCTCGAGGTGCCCAACCAAAGCCAGGAGGTTTCTCCTCACGACGGCGCTAGCATTGGAGAACAGCGAGGTGAGTCCGATGATACACCGGCACCGCTATCAAGGTCGCAAATCGGTGCTTGAAAAGGCAACTACGGACGGGCGTCATCGCCTGCTTATTTTGGTCAGGATTGCGGAACTAGAGGACTAGATCGAGACCTTCGAGATGCTTTGAGAGGGGTAGCTTCGACAGTGATTCCCGCTCTCACGGAGCCGAGTGCGTGACATGATTACGATTCTATCTACCTTGCGGTGCTACTACCTCTTGTGATACTCCCTTACCCTACGATACGCGGAAAATCTTGACAGGAGCATGCCATCACTGTGCTGTACCGAAAGTAGACAGTACGCCCTACATGTTGTCGAGCGGAATGACTCACGATCATGTTAACGTCAGTTGCCTCGGCATCTGCCCACTCTCGAAAAGGTCGTCAGGATGACAAACTTTCCAATCGACGGTTCCTCAGCCATATACCTAGCCACTTTGTTCCGGGCGCGGTCCTCGAGACGTGTAAAAGGCTCCCGGGTCTCCGTGAAGAAGACACCGGCCTTGACAAGTGTAGAACGGCCCCATAGATCTGTCCACCCGTGGGACTTCCGCTCCTTTGTACCGCAGGCGATCAAGGCCGCGGAACTGTTGATCCGCTTCGCCGTCGGGAAGCCCGTCTTCTTCGGAGTCCCACGTGATGAGATCCGACCGATCCGGGTTGGCATCGGTTTGGGGACGATCTGAGGGGTGGAGGAATGTGGTAATGGTGTTGTCCGTCGACGAGATAGGTCTCCGTGGGTCCGGATGCGGGTTCGGTCCAATTTGTGGACGGTAAAATCTTCATTGGGAGCCTTCTCTGGCTGTCAAACGAAGAGCCTTTTCTTTGTACTCGTAGTATCCAGAAGTGAGTAACCTCGCTTAATAGCGCCGGGAGAGTTGACCAATCAAACTACTTAGTTCACCGCGAAAATCGTAGTTTGATTGGTCAACTCTTCCGGCGCTATTAAGCGAGGTTACTCACTTCTGGATACTACGAGTACGGAGGTGTTTGCTGCCGAATCTGGTTAAGATGAGGCTGTCTTGTGTTGCACGTGACTCTGCTTAGGTTGATGGAAGCGAGGCGTGGGAGATGGGAGTGATCGGGAGCAGATGTGGGAGGAAGCGTTGTGGTGATAGGCGTTCGAGTCGGATCTAGGAAGCTGTGTCGAGGGGGTTGAGGGTTTGGAAATAAATGCCTGAGGTCTTGGGGAAGGTGTGCGCTACTTCGTTTTTGGATCTGGAGAAAGAGAGGGAAGGGAAGGGAAGAGAACGTGGGGCCTTTTTCTTCCTTTTGAACGGTAGGGGAGAGGAGGGAAGTCGTCTATAGTGTCAATACGACTACATCTTACGGCCTTAGATCTTATCAATTGCCTTCAAGGGCTGCCGTCCGACACCTTCGCGCAAGATCTCGACGCTCGTCGGATTACTCCACATCACATGGTCCATGATCTCCGCCGGCGTTGGTCCCTTGCGGTGGCTCTGATGCAACACTGCGAACTTTGCGAGTACTTCATAGTCTCCGAGACCGTGCTCTCGGGGGTCAGGCCTCTCGTTGGAGTATATGCGAAGGAGCACCGGATATCTGACCGTAGTTTGTTTGTACGATTTTCCTTATGGGGGCGAAGTTCAATGCGCCAGTGTTATGCTCATTCGTGGAGAGGCAGTAGGGGTCGGTGCAAGGGGTCATGGTTAGCTGCTCGTAAAGAGGCAGGCATTGTGATTTGGAAATGGAACGTGTTTGATGAAGGTTGTTTTTTTCGGTGAGTGTCTAAACGTTACTGGAATGAGCAGACTGAAGGGCCAAGATGAGAGAGGGGGACATGATATTCACAGACACCACTGCCAGCCGGGCTTCGAGTCGCGACCGAGACGAAAATGGGGTCAGAACAAAGCAAGAAACAGTTTTTCACTGGATTCTTTCTCGAGAATATTTTCGTAACCAGTGTTCCCCAACCAAGCAATAATTTCTCCAACTCTTGAGGAACATCAAGCGAGAATGGGAACTGACACTGGAAGCATGTTGGGGCCAATGGGAAAGAGTATATCAGAGAGCTCACGACGATGTGGAGTTGGCACGCATTGCGGTCTTTTTCGTTCGAAGCTGTCATAGGCACATGCTAGTCCAGCAAGTGTCGTTCAGAGACGAGACTAGGCCTTCCGTCGGGGGCCAAGAGATCGATAGCCTTTTTTTTGGGCTGCAAACTGACTTGAACTATGTAATTGGTAGACATGATTGTCAGCAAAGGGACCTTGAGAGTACAACTGGATACTATGGGATAGAATGTTAAAGGCGTCATTAAAAAATTAGAGTGTTGTTGTTGTTTTGTTGTCTCGTCATGGAGATCAGGGTTAAAAAGTGACTAATCGTTCGCCAAAGGGTAACGTTTGTTGGAAGGGGTGAGACTTACGTTGAACTGAGCCATGGAATCTCAATTGTCGAGTTGTACTGGGGCAAAATGACCTTGAAATTTGAGACAGACGTAGATAGACTCATGCAAAGACATTGGAAATGGACATGTTTTAGAGGCATGATCATGTCTTGATTGCTTTTCTGCTGCTATACAGACATTGCACCATGATCTAGTCGAAAAGACCCCCAAATCCTGCATAAACATTAGTAGATGAAATTTTGTTACCAGCCGTAACATCATACCTTCGTCACCACTCTCCTCCTCCTCAGGCTCATCAGGTTTCTCATCCGCAACATCAACAGGCTTGTCAGGCTCATCTCCAGTGGTCTGGGTAGGTGCTGCGGCTGCGTAGGCATCAGGGTTGGCAATACGGTCTTTCAGATCGCTGATTCCTTCCCAGCTATAGTCCGTTTCGACGGCGACCGCCAGAACATTCTTGTAGCTGTTCATGAAGCTGTGCATGATGGATGGTAGCGTAGGGTAATTTGCGGCAAGGGAGATCTGGGTGATGGTTGCGATGGCGGAGTTGAGCGCCTTGAACAATTGCTCCTCTTTGATGTCGAGCACAGAGGGAGCGAAAGTCTGGCCGCCGTCATAAACCTGTGAAATGCTCATGCCGTAAGTAAAGGGCGAGATATTGAGCATGTTCAGTAGTGTAGCCTCGGACGCTCCGACTTTAGTCCCCGCCTCGACAAGCTTCAAGTCCGTTGTGATTTCAATCGTACCACGGGCAATCTTTGTTGGAACACCAAGAGCTTGGAAGAAAGATGTTTTGCCGGGTTCCATTCCAGTGTTTCCTGCGGGCACAAAAACATCCAAAGGAGCGACAGCGCCGGCTCTAGCAGGAGCCGCGACCTTCTCGGCCAGAATTACATCACGAGTCTTATTGAGGTCCGCATTGGTGAAGATGAAACCAACGTTCCCTAACATTTATCAGCGCGGAACTAGATGTAGAGAAAATAACAGCGGGTAGTACCTTTGACGTGGGGAAGCAGACGTTCGTACTCCGGGAAGTCGTTGATGAAGCCTTTGATAGCTCTTCGTACCTGTAATTTGGACGGTCAGCGCGCCGATGACACGAATCTGAGCTGCCTGCATCTAGCCTGAGCCTGTCAATAGACGTAACATACCATGGTATTTTTGCCCATGAGCACTACCCCTTGAACTTCTCCCTCGGACCTCAGACTCTTACGGATCTTATGCATTTGTTGAGAGCTGACATTGTCGACCGTAACGATGAAGATAGACTTGTACCTATTCTCTAGTAAGCTTTCAAACTTTTTCCTCCCTTGGATAATAATGTGCGGTACTCTTCAAGGAGCACCTTGAGCTTATCGAAATAGGCCGCCTTGTTGCTGGTCTTGCCCCCCTGTAGATACTGTCAGTGGAACATTCTGTCAATATCTTCCTAGATTGAGATCCCTCACCATATCTTCTTAGTGTGAAGATAGGATGTTTAAGGGTCAAGTGGTTGTATGTGTGCGTTTGCTTTGGGGTCTGTCTGATGCTGTTGGTAAGACTTCGCGGAGCTGGAACATTAAGTTTGATATCCTGTGGGCTCTTCTCGCTTGCGCTTACCGCGCTAAATTCTTGGCGCGAATTTCCTCAATCTGCAACTTGTCTGCGAGATATGCCTCAATTGTCAAGATGATTCTATTCCGACAACTCAAGATTGGTTATGTCACACCCATATCAGTGCGTACTCCACTGCCATCAAGCCGGTCAAGTTGAATCCGGCATCTTAGTTTTCGCATCTGGACCCTATATTCATACATTGAGTGCACAGAATGGAAGATATCTCTCTACATGGCCATCTCTTGAGAATACAACGCAGACTCGATCAACTGGCCAAAACAATGGAAACGGATTAGAAGTGGCGCAACTGAAGAGCTCACCTCAAGATGATTCTGAACGGCCCTCGAAGCGTCAAAAACTATCTCCAGCAAGGGACGAGTCTTGCAGTTCCTCGGCGGAGATCGTAGTAGCGAGAGACAGTGACAACGGAGAATCGTCAAATTCTCAGCAACCTTTGAATCCACCAGTTATTAAGCTGGCTGGTACCTCCGCCGGTCAACACGTGATTGCCGTGACGGGCGAAGACAAATGTATCAGGGTATTCGACCTGGCAGCAACTGGCATTTTAACGCAGCTCAGTGAAAGGCAAGACAGTAATAGACGGTTACTTTGCGTTATGTACTGATATGAGAGCAGAGCTATGCCAAAAAGACCGTGTGCAATAATCTTGACACCGGATGATTCTACAATCTTATGCGCCGACAAATTTGGCGATGTCTACTCGTTGCCTCTTGTGGGTCAAGTATTTGAAACAGCGACTTTCAATGGCATTGACGCCAACAACACGAGTCGTACGAGTGATCAGAAGCATAAGCAAAAGCCCTTTGCTCCTTCTGCAACTTCTCTTACTGTCCACACTAAAGGAAACCGGGAGGCGTTGCGGCAACAGCAAAATATCAAGAACCTCAAAGCAGAAAAGAAAGTTTCGAACCTTGATCACAAACTTCTGTTAGGACATGTTTCCCTTTTGACAGATGTTGCGTGCGTAACTCTAGCCTCGCCCTCACATAAGCCCCGGAACTACATATTATCATCAGACCGTGATGAGCACATTCGCATCTCCCGTGGTGTTCCTCAAGCACACATCATCGAAGGATACTGTCTTGGTCACACAGAATTTATCACCAAGCTGTGCGTGCCAACAGTCTACCCTCATTTATTAATTTCGGGCGGAGGTGATGACTACTTGATATTGTGGGATTGGCCGGCGGGAAGGATGTTGCAGCAGCTTGACTTGAAGAGTCTAGTTGCTAACCTTAGGAATACTAAACTCGGAGCTGGAAAGTTGTTCAAAGGCTCTGCAAAAGTCAAGGACGCTGAGACTGAAGTAGACATTGCACCCAGAATATGTGTCTCGAATATTCAAGCTCTTGAAATTTACACAGAGCTATCTGGTCATCCGCGAGTTGAGATCATAGTTACATGCGAAGGGTAAATTGATTTACCAACAATGGAGATGTGACTGGCTAAACTTTTTAGGGTTCCTGCGCTCTTCACCTTCACGCTTGGAATGAATGCGCAAATGCAATTCAGTGCAAGCATTCACACAGAAAGCAATGTCATCGATGTGACAATTCTTCCTAACCAGAGTTCCGTTATCTATTCTATGGACACTTGCCATCAGGCCTTCTCGACAGACGCCTCAGCGGACACCGGGAAACAAGGCCCACGAAGCTTAGTGGGCTCCCTGATTTACGATACAGACTCCAAGACCTGGGAAGAGAACCAAGCATTGCAGGCAAATCTTGTCGCAGCTACGAGAGAATGCGCAGATAGCCAGCTACATGTTCCCCAAGCAGGAGCAGCGAAAGGAAAGTCACTTAGAGAATTACTTTACGGCTTGGAAAGCCTCAGAAAGCGGGGATCAGAAAACGAAACAGATGTGTAGGTAGATGTCAATAAAAGCTATTGCCTTAATTTGGTAAAATCTTAGATACATCATGATTCGACCCTAAGTAAATTGCTTAGCATGAGCTTTAGTGAATGCAGATCATCCTCTTCTGTAGCGCTCGTACACACACCAGCGATGTCGAATTTTGCCCCTCTGCAGAACGACCTGCTGCTAAGGGCTGTGAGAGGTATGCTCGCAAAAAGTCCATCGCCTTCCAAAAGCTCACATGTTGAGCAGGCGAACGTGTGGAGAGACCACCAATATGGGTGATGCGCCAGGGTAACAGTCGATCCCGTCAACGTGAGGATTCCAGCTAATCAATAGCAGCTGGGAGATACCTCCCGGAGTACCACGAAGCCAAATCGCACCATGACTTCTTCGCATGCTGCCGGAGCCCGGAAATCTCCTCCACTCTGACTCTTCAGCCCATCGACCGTTACGATGGCCTCATTGATGCCGCCATCATCTTCTCTGACATACTGGTCATACCGCAGGCAATGGGCATGGTGGTGGAAATGCTGGACGGCAAAGGACCTCACTTCCCAAAACCTCTAAAGGCTCCTACCGACAGGCAGTACCAGGACCTGCTATCGAAGCGTGTGGATGTGGAGAAAGAGCTAGACTACGTCTACCAGGCTATTACAATGACAAGACAGAAGCTGAACGGCCGGGTACCTTTGTTTGGCTTCTGCGGTGCCCCGTGGACATTGCTGTGCTATATGGTGGAAGGGGGAGGAAGCAAAATGTTCGTGCAGTCGAAGACGTGGGTCTATAAATACCCCGATGAAAGCAAGACTTTGCTACAGAAGATAGCTTTCATATGTGTGCAGTATTTAGCCTTTCAGGTCAAGGCTGGAGCACAAATTGTGCAGATCTTTGACTCTTGGGCTGCAGAACTGTCGCCTACTGCCTTCAAGGAGTTCTCGCTTCCTTATCTAAGCTATATCTCGAAGCAACTTCCTGGACACCTTAAAGCAATGAATCTGGAACCTGTACCAATGGTCGTGTTTGCCAAAGGCGCCTGGTACGCTCTGGACGAGCTTTGTGATCTAGGGTATCATGTTGTTGGTCTCGATTGGCTGCAAGACCCAGCCGAAGCAGTGGACATCGCCAATGGTCGAGTGGTATTGCAAGGAAACATGGATCCTGGGGTACTGTATGGAGGCAAAGAAGCTATCACTGCGGCTGTTGAAGAGATGGTGAAGGGATTCGGAGGGGGGAAGCAAGGCTGGGTTGCGAATCTTGGGCATGGTCGGGATACCGTCAGAAATCCTGCAGCCTAGTGCTGGCTGACAAAGACTTTAGGTGTCCAGCCTGGAGTCAACCCTGATGACCTGAAGTTTTTCTTCGAAGAGATACACCGTCTCGCAGGTGCAGCGAGCTTATAAACAACGATGATAGGACGAGCATCACGCATTCATGAACACACAACAACATAGCATTGAGGGGCATGTTAGAGAAAATTGTGCTTATTCTCCAATGTCTTCATACCTACTGTCCTTTCAGTGCTCTGGGTGCTTTATAGAGTATAGGATCTTTGTATAGGCTCACCAGACACCAGGCTTCTCTTCGATAAACTTGCTCATCAGGTCCTGGCACTCTTTGTTCTCCAGCACGATGACTTCGATTCCTCGCTGCTTGAGATATGCCTCACCTCCAACGAAGGTCTTGTTCTCTCCAATCACAACTCGAGCCACTTTGTACAGGACACAGGCGCCAGTGCACATATCGCATGGGGATAAAGACGTGTACATCGTTGCACCTTTGTACGCTGAAGCTGGGAGCCTGCCAGTGTTTTCCAGCGTCGATATCTCTGCCTTTGGCAGATGAAACTCCATCAGAGCTCGCATCTAGCCTCGAGTCCAAGAAAGGCCTACATGTAGAGTTGCTGAGTCTTTCTGCACACGCATATTGTGTCCTCTACCCAGAATCTTCCCCTCTTTCGAGACTAGACAGGCGCCTATAGGAACTCCTCCTTCTCCGAAACCTGTTTTTGCTTCTTCTACAGCAGCGACGAATCCAGGATCTGAGTCCATGTTTGTAAGTACAACTGATCAATCTAAAAGAAAAGTGATTCAACGTCCGATATCGGTTTTACTTCGGATAAGTAAGCGTCCCGATTTTAATAGTTGCTGAGACTAGATTTCTCCGACTCAGTCCTCCCATATCTGTGCTCGTAAAAGTTGATATATGCTGAAGTCAGTAGTAGAACCTCTGATGCACTTCTGATTTCAGTCTCCTGGAGATGTGGAAATAAGCCGTCAAAATAGGTGAATCGTGAAAGTGCAGGGTGGAGCTAGGCAGCTGTAAGGCTGAGAGAAACCCTTAGAATCGCGGCGAAATCTGCATGTTCTGGACGATCAGTTCATTCTTGGGGGCTTTTTTATCTACTTCTTCTACCCACACAACAATTTTCAACGTTCACAACACACAACTAACTCTACCCACACCACAGTTTTCAACGTTCACAACACACGACTACGGTGTCTACAAATCAAGTTTGGAACCGCTGGTAACTCCTTACTGTCCCTATTGTCTCAGAGCACGCTTTTATCTCTTAAACAACGTATGTATTACAAATGAGATTCCTTCCTAGATCGATCAATTTTCACAGCAGACCGAGATTCTGAGAGCAGCCATGGTGTGTTCTTGTCACTGACTTCGACCTTAGGAGTATCTCAAAGGCCCTGGTGACGTCTCAAACCCTACTGAACGACAAGCCATACCTTAGAGGCCAATACCTTCGCAACCTTGATCATCTTGTGTCATTTTTAGCTACGACACCATGGTCAAAGAGACCAAGTTCTATGATATTTTGGGGGTAAGCCACAATACTTCAGAGCCATACATTTGAAGTGGTACATCGCTTATTACTTCAATAGGTGGGACCTTCAGCCACAGAGGCCGAGCTAAAGACAGCTTACAAGAAGGGAGCACTCAAGCATCATCCAGGTGCCTGGTCCTCCCATCGCAATCCGGTGCATGAGACTAACACCAGCTGTTACAGACAAAAATGCCCACAATCCAGATGCTGCAGAAAAGTTCAAGGACCTGTCTCGTGCCTATGAAGCGCTCTCAGATCCTCAAAAGCGTCAGTTGTACGATCAATATGGCGAAGAAGGTTTAGAGCAAGGTGGAGGCGGAGGAGGCATGGCAGCGGAGGACTTGTTCGCCCAGTTCTTTGGTGGAGGCGGTGGAGCGTTCGGTGGAATGTTCGGTGGTGGTATGCGCGAACAAGGACCCAAGAAAGCGAGGACTATTCACCACGTCCACAAGGTCTCGCTGGAAGACATCTACCGAGGAAAGATCTCTAAGCTTGCTCTTCAGAAATCTGTCATCTGTCCAGCATGCGATGGCCGAGGTGGGAAAGAGGGTGCAGTAAAACAATGCTCTGGCTGCAATGGCGCTGGGATGAAGACCATGATGCGCCAAATGGGGCCCATGATTCAACGATTCCAGACCGTGTGCCCAGATTGCCAAGGAGAAGGCGAGATCATCCGGGATAAAGATCGATGCAAGCGATGCAGCGGCAAGAAGACGGTCGTTGAGCGAAAGGTTCTCCTTGTGCACGTCGACAAAGGCGTCAAGGGCGGCCACAAGATCGATTTCAGAGGCGAGGGAGACCAGATGCCAGGAGTTCTTGCAGGAGACGTCCAATTCGAAATCGAACAGAAGCCGCATTCTCGCTTCCAACGCAAAGACGACGATTTGTTCTTTCAGGCCGAAATCGATATCCTCACTGCTCTTGCTGGTGGAGCGATCCATATCGAGCACTTGGATGATCGTTGGTTGACGGTGAATATCGAGCCTGGAGAGGTCATCAGTCCAGGTAAGCTGTCATTCCCCTCCAAGTATATACACAGGGCGGCTAATTCGTGACAAGGCGAGGTGAAGATGATACGCGGCCAAGGGATGCCTTCAATGAGACACCACGACTTCGGTAACCTCTACATTCAATTCGACGTCAAATTTCCCCCTCTAGGCTTCAACACCCCCGAAAAAATCGCCATGCTTGAACAGATCCTGCCTCCGCGTAAGCCACAAGCGACACCTCCTAGCGACGCCATGATTGATGACTTCGCTCTCGAGGAGGTTGACCAGAGCGGACAACGAAGAGCCCAAGGAGCTACCAGCATGGAAGAGGACGAAGAAGACGGCATGCCTCAAGGCGCAGAAAGAATGCAGTGCGCGTCCCAGTAAGCCTGGGAAACGCCTGATGAGTGATGAATGGATGTGGAGGAATAACGACCACGACACTACTTTCACTACTTTTCGAATGTCTACTACACACCACCATACCTATCTACCCTGCCTACTCTTGTTATCGCATGTGGCGCATTGGCTGGCTGGGACAGGAGACAGATTCTACCAGCTGCACAGCGTGGCTTTTGCAGAGGCGTTGCGGAGCCCCTGATCAGCTGCTGACCTGGGGTTGCATTATCAATTCATTACAGGCCCGATAGATTTTTTTTTACGGCGGCTTTACAACAAGGTTGCTTGGCCTCCCAAGAGGCATCTTTTTCGAATTCGTGCATGGCGTTTTAGAGTAATTACAGTTTAGAGAAAATCATATTGCATTCAGATTTCTTTCGGCCAGTGATGGCCTTGTTGGCCATGGTCTTTGTGTCTTGTTGACAAGCTGGAACAGTCCATGCTTTCGGAAAATAGACACGATAGCAAATAAAGTAGACACAACACGGTGGTTCTGGAAGTCTCTTCACTCCCAGCTATTGCACAAAAGCCGCTGCTCTTCTAATCGATTATATTGGGCACATAGATTTGAAGAGAGAGCGTCTCCGAGGACCCTAAATTCAGCCCTATCAAAAATCGTCGCGTCGCTCCTGGGTTCCAGCTCACCTGCAAAACAGCAATGCGAAATGTGGCTTTCTTTGCGACTCGCAAAAGGGTTTTGTGGAAAGACTTAATCAGATGTCCATTCAGGCTTGCTGGCACACCGCCTAACGCCTACCCCTACTATCACGGGTCTAATTGGGAGATTGCCCCAAAGATCCAATGTCGTGGAGCGAAATCACGGGCAACCATTTCCCTCAACGATCTTCCACAAAATACGTTTGCAGCCAAGCACAGCATCTCAGAGACCGAGGATGTCGGTCCAGCATATCCCACGGTGGTACAGCAGGCATGGGACAATATGCGGAAGTTCGACAAGTGCGTACTGTTGACAAGGGTGGGAGGTTTCTACGAGCTTTACTTTGAGCACGCGGAAAAATATGGACCTCTTCTCAACATCAAAGTGGCCCAAAAGAAGACTGCCGCTGGGTCTGTGCCCATGGCAGGCTTCCCTTTCTACCAGTTGGACCGGTTCCTCAAAATCCTCGTGCAGGATCTGAACGAGTTTGTGGCCATTAGTGAGGAATTTGCGAACGATGCTTCGGGCACTGTCAAGTCTGGGCTGTTGTTTGACCGGAAAGTTACTAGGACGATCACGCCAGGCACTTTGATTGACGAGAAATTTATGGATCCATACGAGAACAATTTCCTGCTGGCCCTTCACCCACCTGGACCCGGCGAGTCGCCCTATCCCTCGGAGATCGAGAAGATCCCAGCAGAGCTCGCGCAGGGCTCAGTACCGCCGTCACTGATATCGACATCAATCGGGCTGGCTTGGTTGGATCTGTCAACAGGAGCTTTTTCCACGCAAATAACCACCATCGGATCGCTGGCTTCCGCCGCTGCGCGGATAGGGCCAAGGGAGATCGTGCTAGATGATGATCTTGGAGATGGCATGAAGCAGAGCATAATGGGCATACTTGAGCAGCAACGTCATCTTGTGACTTACCACTCAGCTTCAACACAAGCCCTTTCTATGTCCTCTTGGACTCCAATGTTGGAAACAGAAGTGCCCACGGAATTGCAGCCTACATTCACGAACGAGGAGGTCGCTGCAGGAAGCTTGCTTCTGGCATATGTGAAGGACAAACTTCAGGGTTCAGGGATCAAATTACAGCCACCAATCCGAAGACAAGACGGGGAGACCATGAGTATTGACAAGAACAGTATGAGAGCCCTGGAAATTCTGGAGACGTCAAAGGGCGGTGTAGGCGGCGGCAAAGGCAGTCTACTGCATACAGTGCGTCGTACCGTCACTAAAAGCGGTACAAGGCTGCTCAGAAACTGGATTGCTTCTCCTTCTATGTCTCTGCAGGTCATCAATGCAAGACTGGATATTGTAGCACTATTCTTACGGGATCGAGCTCTCGGAGAAGATGTCACTAGTCTCCTTCGTCACAGCTACGATTCTGAGCGTCTCGTGCAAAAATTCTCTTTGGGCCGAGGAGATGCCGATGACCTGATCAGTCTGCTTAGGACCATCGAAGCGACGAGCGGGATAGCGAGTCTACTGGAGACACGTTATACCTTCTCTGAAGCCGATTTCGAAACAGATTCCCCTGACCGAAAGTATCGTCAGTCTTTGCAGAACCTAAGCCGCCGACTTTGGCTTGAGGAACCAAAAGCACTCGCTGCTCGAATTGCCTACGCCATCGACGAAGACGGCCTCACGGAGAGCCACCGCATCGAGGAAACCGAGAATGCAGATATCGTCTTAATGGCGCAGGAAGTTCTGCAAAAGGAAGGTTCTCCAGAGGACCAAGCTGCCATGACCCGCCTTTCGCGCTCCAAGATAAAGCAGAGACCTTCCGCCGACCAGGAAGGGGAGGAAGTGGATACCTGGATTCTGAGGAAAAACGCGAGTCCTATGCTGGGGAGCCTGCATGAAGCGCTAGATGGTTTACGTCAAAACAAAGCATTCTTGACATCTCGCTTGAGAGGAGACCTGGATGCACCAAGTCTAACATTGAAGTGTACTCCGGGACAAGGGCATTATTGTCACGTCAAAGGGACTAAAGATATTGCCGCGTCCTTAAAGAAGTATGTCGCCGCTCGAAACGTCAAAACGACCAAGTCAACGCGTTCCTTCCACCAGTCTGAGTGGAGCAGTCTTGGAAGCAAGATAGATCAAGCAAAGCTACGTATCAAAGCTGAAGAGCAGCGTGTATTCCAACTCCTACGTGAACAAGTCGTCGTGAACTTAGTCAAGTTACGACGGAATGCTGCGGTACTCGACGAGCTTGATATCGGCTGCTCATTCGCAACTCTAGCAAAAGAGCAAGGGTTTGTTAGACCTATGCTGAACTCGGGCTTGGACCACAAGATCGTTGGTGGGCGGCATCCGACGGTAAAGCTCGGTTTGGAAGAGCAGGGAAGAGCCTTCGTCAGCAATGACTGTTCGATCGGCGTAGACGAACGTATTTGGCTCATCACGGGCCCAAATATGGCTGGCAAGAGCACATTCCTACGCCAAAACGCTCTAATATCTGTATTGGCTCAGGTCGGATCCTTCGTTCCCGCCGAATATGCAGAGATAGGCTTGGTCGACCAAATATTTACGAGAGTGGGTTCCGCAGATGACCTGTTCCGAGACCAGTCCACATTCATGGTGGAAATGATGGAGACTGCTGCGATTCTTAATCAAGCTACGGCCCAGTCTTTTGTGATAATGGACGAAATCGGACGTGGCACGACACCGGAGGATGGGATTGCAGTGGGCTTCGCATGCTTGCATCACCTGTACTACAAGAATCTCTGCCGGACGCTTTTCGCTACGCATTTCCACGCTTTAGCAGACATGACAAAAGATTTTGAGCACCTGGCATGCTATTGCACGGATGTGGTAGAGCGACCTGGAGGATCGTTTTCATTTGTTCACCGTCTTCGGAAGGGCGTCAATAGGAGCTCCCACGCTTTGAAAGTGGCACGCCTTGCAGGTATGATTCTGTGGGGACCTCCCATCTTGACTGGCTGCAGACTGACCCTCTCTAGGAATTCCAGAAGCAGCAATCGAGACCGCTCGGACTGTTCTGAAAAGTTTTGATAAGCAGTCTGGCGGTTCTTTTGAAACATCATCGCCTCAAGCAGCGACGGCCTGAGCCTGAGCTTGCAGGCCTACAGAAAGTCTTTGACAACCACACACGTCTGAATCTATAAGTTGTTTCAAAACTTCAAGAAATCCCTTGCACGAGGCGAGGCAAGAGAATTTTTCTGAATAGTGAGACATTGGGAGACGTCAATTGCTCACAAGACGATGATATGAGGCCCAACAAAAGAAGAGGGAAAACCCGGGGATGCAACAAAATAGCTCCATGATGCAGCATCCTCACACTTACGACCAATCGACTTAAGTAGGAAGTGCGGTGTTAGCGAACACGAGAGTACAAAAGTGGCTCGAAGAGTCTAGCCGCTTGCCCAATGGCGATGGTCGAAATCTTGCGGCGTTGCTGTGTTGACCATGAAAGAGACTGAATTTTTTGACTTGATGCCCAAAATCAATGTGGGAAACAAGACTAGACAATGGCACACCTCATTTTGGGATTTTTCTGGCAGCTTGCTTTGCCTGCTCTTCACGTTACGCGTTCCCGTTCAAGGCTCCTGTTTCTGCATGATCGGCTATTGAAAAGGTTGACCGGCTTCGGTGCTGACTACTTCACATTTAGTAATCGATGACTTCAGCTTTTCACAAATGACGCCCTGTAGGTGGTCTTGCTAGGCTTCTTGCACGGACCTGCTCCAAGACTTTGCGTGGTTACCTGGTCTCAGTCAATCAAGATCTGTTGATGGCTGTATTCTTTATTAACATCGCTAGTTGATTACACCGAGGCCTAAAGTCGAGCTGAGTGACGAGATAGGTCACTCTGCGTTGACGAAGATTGCCAGAAGATTTGGGGTGGTAGTATACCACGCCACAGTGTCTGCATCTGGTCCATAAGCATGGCACGATGGACCTTCAGCTCGTGGCACTGTGCCAGACAGGCCCCTGTTTCGTGTCGTCTTGGGCTTTTCCAACTCATCGAAACCTCGTCCCTCACCCCTTTCGAGGTCTGGAATCTTTGTTTCTTCCATGCTATGCTAACCTTGTCGTCAAATCGATCTTTCTATTCCCGTATGGCTCTTCCTAGAGTTTCCAGTACTTCTTGCTTTGTGCACCGCTTTCGAAAATGAGAGTGCCAGACATTGCCGTAACCTATAGTCTGTTGAGTACGCGGCCAGCGTATGCGTCCAAAGGTTGGATCCAATAGTCAATATGTGCATTCGCTTCGATCACCAATGCATGAAAAGGATGACTATGAGCGTCTCGAAAACCGCTGGTAACGAGCTGATATTTCATAGCGGTCGTCAAGAACAGCACACTCTATGTCAACGGTGGCAGAGAAACATTTATCGACGTGAAAGCAAATGGTAGCTCATCAGAGCAGTTTGGCAACATTACAGGGTTACAGTGAGTGATTGCGAACCACGCGGCTGCGATGATAGTCTCAGTAAAGCCTAGATAAATATCTTGTTACCTTTGACTGGAGTCAATCCTGGGACTGGAAGACCATATCTCGGGAAAAGCCCTCGCCAAGACACCTAATCCCAGGACTGGCACGGCGCCTCCGGTGCTCTCACGCGGGGCACTGTTCTACAGTTCAGCCAATGACAGCAACATCTATCTCTGGGGCGGAACAACTTCATATTCGAATACGAGCTTCCCAGGCTACGAGGCCCCAATTCCACAAGAATACTCATTGTGGTTGTTTGACATTTCGACTCAGGGATCGGTCCAATATGACTTGACGCTTGGCAGTGCAAACAGACCAAGCTATGGATCGTTTACCAATGCAGAAGAGCTAGGCTTAGGATTCTATTTCAATGGGGAACTCGACTCGGGCTGCGAGATCCAGACGCAGATTTATGGAGACGGTGTGAAGCATTTAATTGGAGGCATGATTGTTGTTGACTTGGTCAACCAGACAGCAAGGATATGTCGACGCAGGCAGTAAGTGGCGACGTGCCGTGATCAAGAGGAGGAACGATGTACGTCAATGATATTGAACCCCATGGAGTCATTGTCCAGATAGCAGGCAAGCAACAGAACGTCGCCAATACTACAGGTATCATAAGTCCGCATATCGAGAATTTGGTCAGTCAAAAACTGACACCGGAAGACTTGAGGAATATGGCTAATTGACATGGACAGCTACCGATGGACGAGATTGACATCTTTGACGTTGCTTCCTACTACAACGACAGTACCCCGCATGGCACTTGGTACAAGCAGACAACGAGCGGAGCCACTCCAGATCCGCGCATTGATTTATACCTCATCCTAGCATCTGCTCCTGATGGAAGCAGCCACAACGTGTGAGTCCTGTCTCCCTAAGAAACGCACCAAAATTTGATTAGCTTACACAAGTTAAGAATTTGTACGGTGGCCGCGGAGCCGACGCGTTCTTCGATGAAATTGGGTCCTTTCCATACCATCTTTCACATGGACAAAAGTCTATCAAGGCGAGAGCCCACGGTTTGGACACACGTGCCACCGAGTCGGCGACCGAACGATGATCACAGTTGGCGGTGCTGCGAACGATGATTGGCACGACGCCCCTTACGACTGGCAGACTTTCGATTTGTCGGATCTGGTTTGGGGAGTGTGTATGATGCATCTGCGCCGGCTTACGCTGTGCCTGCTCCGATTGCTGCGAGAACAGGTGGTTCGTAAGTGCTTGATACTGATTGTATCCCCCTCATAGCTAATTCATGGAGTTCTGCGGCGCATCTGGTGGCGCTGCGATGTACGAACCTACCCCATCCGGCTTCGATCAACCCGGCCTCGCGGACCTCTTCAAGGTCCAGTATCAAGGGGCTTCAGTAGGTCTCGCACCAACACCAAGCCCCAGACCGTCAGGGTCTCGCCCAATTCACCGTACTGCCATTATAGTCGGCTGCTTAGTCGGTGGTATCGCCTGTATCACTGTCATTGTTGGACTAGGATTGTGCTACAGGAGGTAAATCCGTCGTCGCATCACAGGCTGCGAATCTCCACGCCAGGAGATGGAATACCATGGAAGAGTTTTCCAGGAGATGGACAACCAGGTGGACTTTGTCCACGAGATGGACGTTCAGGAGAGGGTGGTCCAGGAGATGGGGGCTGAGAAAATTTACTGGGAGTTGCCCGCGGAGAATGAACCGGCTGAAATCTGGAGTTCTACCAAAGGCTCGGAAGAGAACCCTGGCTCTGGTGATGTCCGCCGAAATGGGATGTCAGCTGACGATAAGGTGCCAGAGATTCCTAGTCCGGGAAGAACCTCGGAAGGAAGTTCAAGAGGGTATCAGCGGAGCTTCAAGATGCTGCATCCGCTGCCAATGCCTTGATGATGACCAAATTTGCACTGCGTCAACCCACCACTACAGACTACGAAGAGGCCCACCTCCTCTGGAATGGAGCGTCCGCTCTTGAAATCAGGACTTCATCTCCAAGGTGACGCCCTTATTCTGGGGTAAAGTACCCTTTCGAACGGACAAGCCACAGCCATTCCTCACGACCTACAATGGCTTCTGGGAGTCATTGCCACTACCTTTGTCTTCCACCCCTGCAAAGACTCTAGGATGTAGTGCTCGGAAGCATACAATGTGTACAAGATGTAATAACACGAATGTACGACTATTCGCATAGCAAGGCCGCCGCCCGGGGGGGTGGTGGCGGGGGGGGAGGGTCGAAGGTCGGAATTTCAACAGCAAAACATAGTATGATAGTACCTACTGGATTTGCCGTAAATCATCAAAAGAAACGCCTGATAGATAGCTATACTATAGATCTTTGCATCAACAATCGAACATCGTCCCCAAATCTGACACCTCCGCTTTCCTCCCCCCATCATGACCACGACCCTCCCACAGACCTACATCCACTCCGCTCCCCTTGCGACCCTCGCACCCCACCTCCTCCCCCACCTCCCCAAATCCCTCCCCCTCCTCCGCCGTCTCCAATTCCACACCGCATCTCCCTCCGCCCGCATAATCGCGACTTTTCCCCCGCCATCATCATCATCACCACCACCAACCACCACCACCAACACCGCCCCGCCAGCCTCGTTCGCCGCCATCTGGGCCGACCGCACCCGCGCGCCCGAAACCGAATGCTGGATCTTTTCCACCTTCGAAACCCTCCCTCCGCCCCCGCCGACGCCCTCCCAGCGACACGAAGCCCGAGCTCAATGCCTCGCCCTCCTGGCAGTCACAGCGCGCCTGCCGGCCACGACGCCCCTGACCATCATCGGGTCTCTGAACGAGAGCTTGCTGCGGCTCATCGGCGGGGAAGAGGTGGGTCGGTTGGCGCCGCAGAAGGTGGTTTCCAGAGGCACGGAGCACGATGATGATGATGACGACGACACGGGTACGGGCGGGGGTGGCGTGATACGCGGGGTCAGCGTGCCGTACTGCAAATGGCTCATCGGCCCGCCCGGAGCCGAAGGCGGCGGAGGAAGATCGCAGGGCGTGGGTTCGTTACCGCCCGGCTACGCGTTCGACGAGCTCCGCGGCGAGGACGAGCTCAAGCTTACGATCGCCCGGACCGAGATCCCCAAGACGGAGGAGACGCTCGCCCAGCTCGGCTGCTGCGGGGTACGCCACACGCCCGGATCTGCGTCTACGGCTACGGCTACGGCTACACGTACGGCGGCGGACGCGAGGGAAGGAGAGGAGGGGCAAGGACGAGGCGCGTTGGTAGCGTGGGCCTTCCTGGGCGTCGACGGCAGTCTGACGTCCCTGCACGTGGAACCGGAGCACCGGGGTCGGGGGCTCGCGAAGGCGGTCTCGCGCCGACTGTTCCGATCCCTGGCGGACGATGCGTCGGCGATGGGGTTCCGGGCCGCCGACGGGGCCGGAGACGGAGTCGGGGGGTATGGCCGCGGAGAGGGCTGGGCGCACAGCGACGTCGCGGAAGAGAATCTCGGGAGTGCGGGCGTGGCGAGGGCGATGGGGGGGAAGGAGGGTTGGAGGGTTAGATGGGTCAGTGTCGATTTGGCGGCGGTGGTGGAGGAGAGATGGACGAAGCTGTTGGGAGAGGAAGTGGTAGTCCGAGTTGGCTGACATTCTCTTAACTAGCTTACTTCCGACGCGCTTTTTTTGGCCAGCATCGACCCAAAAGAACGGTGTCATTTTGTGATAAGAATCGTCTCAGGGAGAGTGGTAATTTAGAAGAGTGGGAGAGACTCGCCTGTTGGCGACTGCTATCCTCAATGTTTTGGGGGCTGTACCGCCTAGACTGCCGCTTCTTTCGGCGCCTTACCTAGAGAGTAGAGATGGTGGTCGAGTTTGGGGGCGGAGACGGGAGGGTGGTGGAGGTCAGATGTGGATGAGGATCGAATGGAGAGATGGTGTGGGTCACGAATGGATGTATAGACAGATGAGGAGAGGAGTAAATGATTCAAGAAATAGATCATGGTTCATTTAGAGCTAGTGTTTTATGCATTCGATATCCCAATACGGCCAAAGGAACAAGCCTTTGACTCATGCACAGTAAAAATCGTCGAGAAGTTCCGTCGCCAGTAATATGCATGCAACGCACTCAAAGTCTCCGCTGGAAGAGTGTTGTCGCCACAAGCAAGGGTATAGTAAGTAGATGACATGAAGTAAATAAAGGTTTGATAAGAGAAAGCAAGCAGCCCTCAAGGCTTGACAGAAACCGATTTCTTGCGTCCAAAGATGGTCCTCGTCCTTGACTTGTCCCGTGGTTTTTTCTCCGGCGTAGTCTGTTTCACACCTCGCCCCTGGCGTTCGTTCTTGTCGCTTTCGTCTGCATATTTGGGTTTATAGATCCTGTCCGTATGTTAGCAGAAGACCAGTTCTTTTGTCTCTAGAGGGGACATACCAGCTATTGCCAACCATACTCATGCCCTTCGCCTCCGCCATCCTATAGTAATGAGCTGCCTTCTTCAAGTCTTTCTTACAACCCTGGCCCTGCGCGTAGCAGAATCCAGCCTCCGCCATCGCATCTGCGTCACCCCAGTTGCCTGCGATCTCAAAACATCGTAAAGCGAGTGTTTTGTCTTGTTCGATGCCCCAGCCGTTCATGTGACTGACTCCGAGCTCGTATATACTCAATGCGAACTGTGCACGCCTGGTCTTCCGCTCTGTCATATCGGCTGGATTCCCGTTCTTGTCTTCATCAACTGCAACTTCTATGCTGGCACAGTCTGCGGCCTTACGGAGCCATTGCACGCCTTCTTGTTGGTTGGGACGCATGCCCCATCCGTGGCGACAGGCCAGTGCGTACAACAGCATAGCGGTTGGAAGATTCTGCCTCGCTGCAATGCGAAGGTGGTAGGTAGACTCTCGGGCGGCCCCACGCTCGTGTAGCTCAATGCCCTTTGCTAGATGATCTTCTGGGCTTAGCTCCGTAGACAGAGCTGGAGCACGAGGGCGTGCTTTGATGGTGCTTCCTGACCGAGTAGAGGCTGAGTATTCCGACTGAGCGTCGCTCTGGACCGGAGTTGGAGGTGGCCTATGATTCTGCTCAGGGGAACCGTTTGATCTCTGGTCGGTAGAAGGAAGAGCAGATCCACTAGAAGCCTGCTCAACGGAAGGCCTTGGTGAGCCTCTCGCAACCTGCTCAAAGGAGGGCCGTGGTGAGGCTCTTGGAATCTGCTCGTGAGAAGGGCGTGGGAAGAATTGGGGTCGCTGATCGAATGAACGGCGTGGTGAAGATCTGTGAAGCTCCAGGCTAGGTTTTGGCGACCGGGTAGGCGTCATGGGTCTGTTCGCGAGGGGTGTGGTAGGGCGAAGATTTATTGGTGCTTGAGGTCGGTCCCACTCGAACACCAGCTTTTCATCCTGAAGAACCTTGAAATCTCGCTGCAGCATCCTGCCACGGGGCAGGGAGTACTTGGCGTAGATGTAGGAGGGGGCTGGTGCATCTAGTGGATTCTGTGGGTCAGGGATTTGCTCGTTGTCCATGCTCCCAGGCGTTTGCACACTATCATCCACGAAGAGAAGACGCTGGCTATCAAAAGATGGCTGACGGGATGCCGAGCTGAAAGGAGGTCGTACTGCATCCATCGACGGCCGGCTGTCGAAAGAGGGTTGCCGGGATGGGATGTCCGTTGATGGTCGGCTGGCTCTGCTGAGCGGCCTCGAGAAATTGAAAGTCGGGCGAACCTGGCGTGAGCCGCCAATGGAGTATTCAGAGTTTAGAGACGGTGACCGACCGTGAGCTTGTGTGAAAGGAGAAAACGGGGAGTGAGGCACCGAGAAGCCACTGCTTGAAGAGTCCTTCCTGTGTTGGGAAAATCCAGACCGGCCAGTAGAAGCACTGTGCTCATCATCCGAACTGTCTTGGGGAATCGACCTAGTGCTCCCCGCATAACGTACATGAGGTGATTTTGGTGGTGCTAACGAGCCATTGTATCCTCGAGAGGACGTAGAGGCGATAGACATCTCACGCTGTGGCCCATGATAATTGGAGGACTCGGGGTTCCCTGGCGGGTAGGCGAAGGGGTTTCGGTCCATCGCCTCAGCGCTCCTTCCTAGTGGAAATGTCGGTTCTGGTGACTTTGCTCTCGGCACGCCAAAATAGTCATTCGTCCGCACTGGGCTGAACTCCGCAGGTGTAACGAAAGGTAGGTCTGGCGTAGGACCTTCATGGTACTCTGGTTCACCCTCAACTAGTGGTATATTACTCATTCGAGGGTAGAAGGATTTGGGTCGAAAATCTGGATCCTCCACCTCTGGCATTGTTCCAGATGGATCTTCATCCCTAGCTCTTGGAGGTGACCCTGGTAACACATTCTGTGTTTCGGAGGACCTTGACCTGTTATACATGGAGTTTTGCTTCGTGATCGGATCACCAGTTGTGAGTGGAGGTAGCCTGCTGACTCGCCTGCCATTTCTCTTACTGTCGTCCAATTGTTTCGCCAGAAGTCGGCTTTGCATAGCAAACATGTCCAGCGGGGACATTGCCGGGGGTATGTCGCCCGCGAAGTGCTGCATCCTTGGAGATGATGTTCCAGATGTATGGACTGGGATACCGTTGTGCATTGATTCGTGAGACTTGGAGCTCAGGTCAATGAAGGTTGGACGTGGAGCCATGATGAAAGAAATGGAGAGGGGTCGGTAAGCTGATTCATCCGAGAGGCAAACACAAGTCGCAGTCACTGTCGCAGTGCCTGTGCATGTGCATGTGCGGCTCAGGATGGTAGGAATATGGAGTAATCAAGGCGCAATGAGAGTGTTAGCGCAGGATAGGCTAGGTGATTGAGGCAAGGTTCTTAACGAGCGACGGTGGTGAGATGGATCTATTATATTAGCATTGAGCTGTGAAAGAGGGAAGTCACGACCCCAGGCTGTCGATGGTCTGGTTTTTTCGTACGTGGTCGTCGGCACGGAGTAGGCGTTTGAGGTGGGTTACGAGGGGTTTCACGACGATTTGGCGATCATGTTGGGATGATATAAGGATATTGCAGCCGGAGGATGTGCTATTTATTGACGGCAGTAAATGTAGATGTAGATGTGTTGAAGGCGTTATTGGTCTGACTATTGAGTAGGTGCCACTGACCAGAGAGGACGTTGAACAACGTTGAGTGGAGGCAAGGATGAAATTGATGATCTGATTCGGATGAAGTCCATGTGATGTGATTGGTTGGCTGGGTGGGAAGAGGAAGTTGTTGCAATTGCAAGCGGGTGGATCTACTCAGGGGTGGTTAGGGCCTTGCATCTCGCGAGTCGCCGCCTGTAAAAATAGCTGCAGGGGCCCGGTGACCCGGGGGAGAGGATTGGGGGTTGCATTATTCGCTGCAGCATCCCTCAAGACTTCAACCTCAAGCATCCGTACAGTCACCATATCGAATATTATGATTCATCCATCACACCAATCATTATTCTCGCTGCCTCTAATGTTTATGTAGCATTATCATCAAAATTCGAGGACCAAAATCCCCTATTTTTATGCCAGATCTCTCATCATCTCCAGATCTTGGATTTGGCATTTTGCATAAGCGCAACCAATTGGGTTTCTGCCACTACTAGGTCGCATAGGTGCATAATTACCCTGACATCTAAGTCCCAATGCTTCAGCTGCTCATCTGATAATGGACAAAGTATGAAGCTCAAGTTGACCATGGACCAAAGAATGGAATCATTAGGTATTGGGAAAAATGGGTTGATTGCCTTCTATCTAACTTTCCGGCCCTTGAAAAATGCCTCCTGACTAGTTCTGGTCTGCATTCCAGCCTTCGTAAACATGGCTAATTGTTCGACGCCTAGAGTAGCCACGCCATAAGAGCGATATCCGCAATGTTTCTGCCAGCTCTCACCCATATACCTCCTAGACTATGGTGACTCCTTATGATGTAACAAAGGCCTCTGCCGGTAAGGTCGCCTAGGCATAACCATGTAAGTAAGACCGTCATGTAACGAGGATATGCAGACAAACCTTAGCTTGCCCAAATGATGCTGCCGCTCCTTCCAGATTCCACCCACACTGTTCCAGGCACAATCCCGAGAACTCTAATGTCATCCCTGTAGCTTTGCTCAGCTCCACCGCCAGCACCTCCTTCTGCACCTGCTCCTCTGTTTTGCCAGGCGCGGACAATGCGAATCCTGCCGGCACATTGATCTGATGATGTGCTTGTGCCGTTGGATCGGAGGCGCTATCCTCTACTTCAGGCCGCCACGCATCGTGGCCTCCATACTGCCTCAAGACAAGTGTATCACACGCAACGCGGATACCTCCAACCCCTCCTCCTGGCCCCAAGACAAACGTACGATCGAAACTCCGTATTGCTGTTGATTGGCCGGTTGAAACATCCACCTCCGCGAATTCTCCATGCAACATGACCATGAGCCCACCGACACCGCTTGATGATTGTCCGGTTGGGTCTGGTAAACCTGGGATGGTGTGACACTCGACACACCATTTTTGCGGCTCTGCCATTATGTCGGGATGACGAGTGACTGGTAGGGTTGCGAGCCCATCTTTGATACTCTCCGCACCGGTGTATAGACGTGACATTCGACTTGGCGGGTGGGTGATCTTGGTTAGATTTCGGCTCTTTCTGAGGTATGCTTCCCAGCCAGGAGGTTTCTGGCTCGTGGTTTCGGCGATGTGGGGAGCGGAAAGGTTGATGCTGATAGAGAAAGTCGATTGGGCATCGTAATATCCATTGACCAGAGCGGTGCGATCTCCATCGTAGGCAGGGAAGAAGTGTTTGACAAAGGTCTCGCTAATAGCTGCTTCGTCACGAAAGCTAGGCCCAAGGATGGGGATTGGTAATTTGTGTTTCACCGCGGCTCTAGCATCCTCCAAGGATCTTATTTGTATTGTGTTGAGAGTAGTGAGGGTAGGATACCATTTCACGATGTCGTCTTTATATGTCGGCACCTCCGTCTCAATGGGATTTCCAGTAAGTATAATTTGGTCGAGCTTACGGAATTTCCACCGCCATCCTTCAAGCGCGGTGAGGTTTTTCAGTTGATTGTTCGAGAGGTCGAGGTTTTTGAGTGCTGGAAATGTTTGCGAAAGTGTAGTAACCGAGGCTATGGTGGTCAGGGCATTGTTGGCCAGCGAAACACTAACGATGGCCTCCTCCTTGGCGTGCGCGGTTGTGAAGATGCTATCGCAGATCTTCATGAGCGCTGGGAAGAACTTCGATTCCCGTGAGGTTGTGCTGAACATGCCAATATTGACAAGTTCGGGATCTGTGCCGAGTTGCGACAGGTCTAGGAGCTTCGCATCTGTACTGTACCGCCGACTGAGAACAGATTTCAGGACGTTGATAGTGTTAGGTGTTTCGGAGTCTGCGTTACTCGCCAGTGGTTCAGATATTTTCCTGCGAGAAACCTCAATGCCTAGCGTAGCTCCGGCAAACTGGAAATTGTTGAGTCTCTCAATCTTAGGAGTATCCTCTGGTCGCACTGAAATAATCAGAGCTTCACCCTCAAGTCGTGACTAGACAACGTTAGCAAGGCATATAAACCTTGAAGTTGCAAGTCACCCAAAGGCGGTAGCGTGAAATCTCGGTCGTCGTTCTGAGAGCTTGGCTTGAAACGAGGGCGGACCGGAGAGTTTGGAGTGTTGGTATCGCTGTTGCCTGGCGGAATGCAATGTCAAACATACCTTCTTTATCTTTACCGTCTCTGGAGCATCCGGGTGGGTCGCTTTTCGTTCCAGAAATGCAATCAGTTCGGATATGCCACCACCTGGATTGGCAGCAGCTTTGCTCTGCTTGAATCCCTGAACTGTGATCTGGTCCCACGCTTCATCTATGGGTCGGGTACTTCCTCTTCCCCGTACATTTCTCAAGCTGGATCTCTGTCCTCTTGGCGATTTCTCACTGGAGCCCATGCCTCGCAGGACGGCTTTCTGTATTGCTGAAGGATCGATTCCTGTCCGAGTAGGACGTGATGTTCTTGCACGAAGTGAATCAGATGTGCCACTCTTCTGCGTCCGTGCCGATCCTCGGATGGCGGCGCCACGTCCACGACCACTCGCTCGACCAGTTATACCTGCTTGGTCCATCACCAGATCTCCATCCTTATCCACTCGCGCTGGAGTGGTGTTGCGTTTTTGAATGCCCCCTCTGCTTGGGAGACGACTTGAAGCGAGGCGTCCTGAAGCCCGAGGCCCGGTGGGTGGTGGAGGCTGGTGAAGCATGCTTGCCGTGAGATGTCGAAAGCTCGGATTGGGAGAGAGAATCAGATAGAATAATAGGGTTGGTACTCTTGGTCGCTTTCGTACGGTAATGGGCAAAAAGGGTTGTCGAAGGACAAAGAATGTTAGTCGAGATATTGATGGAGTAGCTTTTGTGATAGCTGGCCAGAGCTAGCGACAAGCTCCGGATGCGGTAATGATGCTCTCCGGAGACATGGACATGGTCTGCAGAGTGGTAGACAGATTTTACTTTATGTGCTTCCAATGGTGAGTGAGTGTTGAAAATTGTTCATGATACTGAGTCACATGTTTCAAAGAGGGCGTTTCTGTGCCAAGCTGCTAACCATATTGAGTCTTAGCAAACTTCCCAGCCACGCTACATTCTCTGATCATTCGTGACTATTGAGCCTATCTAATTTGTTTGCGCATGCATTCTGGCTAGAATCTGTGGCATTGGCGTCATGATGTCAGGATACCCAGTCTGTACAGTCCGAGAACATGAAGTAGACCGCCAGATAAACGTACTATAGCAAACAGAATGTACTTAGCTTTGGGTTCTACAATTGTTGCCATCGAAGACCGACCCGTCCACAGGGGTAGAAAACCCGAGTGAAACCAGAACAATTGAAAGAGCCATTGGTGGGCTCAAGCTTTCTAGAGCTTCTTCGTGCGCATCCATCCGAGGTCGTGTAGAGCAATATAATTGAGCGATAGTGAGAGACCAAAAGGCAGGAAAAAGGCCGGTGTAAAGGTTCGAGGTCACAGACAAGCGCTCTGAGGAAAACGTCCCTACGCTCGCGTCAGACAAGAGAGAAGGCTTACCCATAAGATGTCTTAATATTCAGGACCCACTGGGCGGCAATGGCGCAGCAATGAGCCGACGCTTCATTATTGATGCGAGACCAAGTTTAGGCCAGGGATGAAGCATTGATGTCGTCCTGGCGTACGCATCTATCGTTTAGAAGTGACTAAGAAAACTTTTACCGTAAGCATGGTGGTGGTGAGCTGATTATCAGAGAAGTGTGACCGATAAGCCTTGCTCGATGACTGAAAGCTCACCTATCTTCGAGTCCATTTCTCAGCATTGTATAGTTGCAAGGGGTTGTGGGATTCTGCCCTATGGTGAAATGCTCGAATACGATCCAGCGATACTATGAAGCCGTCGTGGTCTCCAGTGTACTTGACCTTCTAGGCGATTACTGCGTATGTGTGACGATGACCGTATGAGTGTATTGGCGAGATTACAGCACTGACAAAGATGGACTATTGTGAGAAATCACTTGTGTATGGTAGAACTGCATGGTTGAGTCGACCGTATCTTGTACTGACTGGTCGTTACGTGTGGAAGGAGGAAGCTGGAGCAGGCGAAGCTGAATGACGATAGTGTTACAATTTGATGAGCAAGCTGATTAGGATGATGACCTCTGTGGGAGGAGCTTCGGACGCGCCAGAGGCCGATGCGAGCCTCAAGATTGAAAATAAAAGCTTGCTGTTCCGTCGACCGCTGATCAGAGCTCCAGCCAGTACACTTTGGTAGATGAAGCCGAAATGCCGTCTCCGTATTTGACCCTAACATCAACCGAATGGAAGGAAAATAAATGATGCCGAGACTTTTGGACTGAAGGAAATCCTCATCGCTGAGCTGCCTTGGTATGATAATGCTGGAAGCAAAGCCATGCTGAAAGTACCGACAGGACCTGCCGTATCCCTAGAGCACCATAGCAAGAAACCGCAAGAGCCATTTTCGCCGTGTACTGAGACCTCTAATTCTGAACCTTCGAAACCGCTTGACAGGTTTGGGCGCATTATTTGGCAGAGCGCTCCGCACCTGAGTGGATTAGCGGACTGCAATTTATCGACGGGAGTACCTATCGTCAGAACGGTAGTCTTGGTCTCTACCTCCACCGTACGAGTCCCGAGTCTCTCTTGAGGGAGCATCGCCGTACGCAGCATGAGAACGCCCACCATCTCGACCGGCATAAGAATCATTGCCACCACGGTAGTCGTCACCGCGGCTGCTGCTGTAACGATCATCGCGCCCGCCTGATGCATACCTGTCAATTCCTCGAGAGCCGTAGTCATCACGACGTCCATACGAGCGACGCTCACGATCATCGTAGCGAGAAGATCCACGATAGCTGTCATCGTAACGGCCACCGCCATATCCACGGTATCCACCACCACCACGACGATCATCGAAGCGATCGAAGCGGCCACCACGTGGTGGACCACGGAAGTCCTCTTCTAAATACCAATGTCAGTTCTAAAGACTTATGAGGTACCGGGGATACTCACCTCGCTTTGGCGGGCCAAAGTACTTTCCAGGAGTGGGAGTCCTAGGACGAGCACGCCTAGCTTTCTCAATGCTTAGAGTCCGACCTTCGATATTCTCACCCTGAAGTCCCTCCTTGGCAGCATCGGCCTCCTCTGCAGTAACCATTTTGACGAATCCGAATCCACGAGACTCTTGGGTATGCGGGTCCTTCATGATCGAACAACCTTCGACGTTGCCATATTTCTCGAAAAGACGAGAAACTTCTGCTTCAGAGAGACGAGGATGAATGCCAGTGACGAACAGATTTGAGCCTGGGTTACGGGCGCCTGACTCGCGATCATCTTGGTTGCGCTCAGGAGGGGGACCACTATGTTGACCGTCAGCTGAGTGTCCACAGTCATAGTGGGATTGTTGAGCAGTATACCGAGAGTCCATACGGCCATTCGGAGAGGCGCTCCTATCACGCCCTCCGCGATAGTTGTCCTCACGCTTCATGGGGTAATCGTCATCACGCTTTGGGCGAGGTGAAGCGCTTCGGTCACGTTCGTAGCGTGGCTCATCATCTAAGAAGCATCGTCAACTATGAGTAATTTTTCTAGTTACAGTACAGAGGGACACCAAAAGCAAAAGATGAGAGCGAGTGATTAGGTTTTACATACTGTCGTAGCGACCATTCTCCTGCTCATAATCCATGGTTGCCATTGCGACCAGCGAGTGGAGACGTGATGCAGGTGAGGTAGTACCGAAGCTTGCTCTTCGAAGAAACCGGGGTTTGCAAATCTCTTGAACAGTGTAGAGAAGATGAGGTCTAATGTTTTTGATGAGTAGCAATGGTGAGTGTGGAAGAAGTCGGTATTGTTCGGTGTGGATGGAACAAGGGAGGAAGTATTTTTACTCTCGCGACTCTCTTTTTTTCTAGAATGCGCGGCTAGTTTAGCGCCAACGCTAACTAAAAACGGCCTAAACCAATGAAGTAATGTGATGCCTTATGTTTCTTACCCTGCCCTTGCAAACGGGCAAATTTGAAGAAGTACGGACAAGCATGTAGAGAGATTGTTTCTAGTTGAAAGGCTGCTATCAAGGCATGCATGAAAGATAGACTATGATACAAATCTGATTCCACAGCTACGTATTATCATGATCGCGAGAAACAATTTCGAGGTGCAACGAGGCACGCTGCTTGAGCATTGCCTAACATCCTCCGTGTCCTAAGCGCGGAACTCCCCTCATGTTGCAGAAGAGTCATGATCCTGAGGCGCCCCATGCAAAGTCAGAAAAAGGTCCGCCGTCTCCGTCCCTTTTTGACAGCCTTGCGAGTTTTGGCAGTTTTCTCTTCCGCCTGCTGTCGTGCCAAATCGCCACCACCTTCAGCCTCTTCAGGCTCTACTAGCCCCGAGAGCTCCTCTTCATCCATATCACTCAAATCCTCGCTCATGCCTCGCACAAGCTCTCTTCCTTTCCACCGCTCCTCTTCGATCGTGGTGCCTACTGGGTCAAAGCATTCCATGTACCATGGAATACCACCCTGTGAAAGCGGTTGAGAATGGCCCCCAGAGCTCAATGGTGGCGTTACTGGTTCTGGAGGCGTGTCCTTACCTAATTGGTGGGATACATGTTCGTCGAAATTACCGTTTGACGTGTGGTCATCGCCAGCCGCGCCGTTCGTTGGTGGCATAGACTCTGGAGTTGGCTGTTGACGATGACCCTTGTGCTTGGCTGATTTTGAGGCAGTAGCCTGCTCTCTGTGAGATGCATGGGCGATAGCAGGATCGAGTTTAACACCAACGAGGTTTCTGGCATTTTGATTGAAACCATTAGCACTGTTCTCATCAGAACTACCTCCGCTGATTGATTGCCGTTGCTGTATAGGGTCAGCTCCACCTTCGCCTAGCTGCGATCCATTCCTTGAATCGCGTCGAGAACGCACACTTGCTTCAAGTAGCCTCTCCAAGTCGCGGAGCTCTTTTTCGTGGGGCCTGCCTAACAATTCACTTTCCTTTCTCATCGCATCTTCAAGTGGGCCTTTGACGGCTTTGACTATTCTGTTTGCAAGCATCTTTTTGGCCTTGTGGTCAGCGATTAAGTCTTTCGATAACACTTCACCATTAACATGTGGCTGGCCCTCGGTTGCGTCGACTGTAGGAGACGGATCTAGTGCAGCCTTGACCACGTCACCGAACTTTTCGGAGAAGGCTTCAACTGACGTATGACTACGTCTATTCAAATGCTCCTCAAGATCAGCAAAGCCTTCTCGGAAAACTCCCTTGCCATCAAGTCTGTTTAAGAGAATGAGCACAGTTTCGATTCATGCAAGCAAGTAGAGCACTTACAATTGAGCCTTTTCCAAGATTGGCCACAGGACTGGTGTGATTGGGAAGTAGACGATGTCAACGATTTCTTTCAAAATCTTCACGTCATCGAGCTTTAGCTTTTCTTTCTCCTTTATCAGGCTGCTCAATTGTCTTATCTTGCCAACCTCTTGTAGAAGCTGCTCCGCAAAATCAATCCGTCTCTGCAGTCGCACCCCGCCAGCTGCTCCCATGCCAACAAAATTTCGACGAGTGATCTCCATTGATGAAAAGGTTTCCATCTGCAGTTGTAACCTCTTTAACAAAGCTGCGCCTCTCCGAGCTTCTCTTTTGAGAGTCCAGAATTTGCATGCTTCAGCAGCAAATTCTTTTCGTTTTCGGATAGCAAATCGCTGCAGAGAAGCTTCCACTGTATTATAAACCGCTTGCGGTATGACTGGTGCGCCCGAAGGTAGTCTCCACACGACCTTCGGCGGCTGATTAAGTTTCCGCTTTTTGGAGTTTAGCGTGAGTGTAAGCTTGGGATTCGAAGGCTCTTCCATTGGCTCTGGAATAGGGATGCCTTGCGTTTGTGATGCACCCATCGTCAGTGCAGATTGTTGGCTATCTGCCCAGAGTCTGCCACGCATCGTGCGTCGATAGAAGTCTAGTGCGTCTCTGGTCGCATTATCAACGTCATGCTCTCTACGCCAGTCTGCTGGGACATGCTTGTCACAAAAGGCTTTGAGTACACTCGCGTCGATACTTGCTGGTCCGCCATGGGTTGATTTCATCTTAAGGAAGAGTCTGGCTCTTCTAGCGCATGTAACGTGGAATGCAATATAGCAGTTCTTGTTCCCACACTGTACACATGCACCCATTCTCTGTCGACAGATATAACACGTTAATTTCCATCTAGCCTTTGGGACTTTCTCGACGTCCATCACCGGCTCCATGAAGGTATTGTTGCCTATGGAGACCTCAGGAATCCAGATTGCGCACAATAGATGAGACCACCTCGAGGCATTCGTCTGCTTGAATGCTCCGTCCGTGTTAGGACAGAAGATACATGTAGGAGTCCCGCGGCCGATCAGTTGGCACTTTCGGCATAACCATTGCCCTTCAGGTATGAAAGGCACTCCATAGCACTCTTGATGCACAGCTAGGTCGCAACCGTCACAAAAGACGATTGCATTCGTATTTTCGCAGTCACCATCATCGCAAATTGCGCATTTGGTGTCTTGCTCTTCTCCAAGGGCGCCAGACTCACCGTTGACCGCCGCAGCAGAGCTAGAACGTGGGCGATGAGTTTGTGGGGGTTTCGGATTTGGCTTTGGAATTCTCTTCTCGAGGGCATGCCATTCCTTCTCGATCTTCGTCATTGTGATCTCGAAGATCGCAGGTTTGATGGCCTCGACTCCATCCTCTTTTCTATGGATGTTGTGGGCCTCGAGCCAAAGATTGTCTTGCTCATCCATGTCATATTCGACTCGACCAACCACAGCACTACCGATAGCTGAGTTGCCCTCGCCCTCATTCTTCTCCCCAGTGGCCATGTCCAGGTCTTCCTCAATATTTCCCTCGGTCACACGGATCAATTTCTTCTCTGGCCGGATCCAGATTTCGCTCTCCTGGTACCCTACGTTTGCCATAGATCGGTCTACGTAGTTGAGCTTTTCAACGTGCTTCTGCTCGTATTTGAGGAAAGGATCTAAACGGCGGAATGAAGGTTTCGGCAGCGTTAGCTTTTCCCGTGGGTTGAAACCAGGAAGTGGAATGACCTTAGGAACTTCGGGTGTGCCGATACCTTTCAGCATCGAGTCTGCTCGACGAGGCGGGCGTCCTGGACGTCGCTTGGGAGTGGCTTCCACTGCTCCAGGAGTGGCGGAATTGCGATCATAGAGGTTGCCATGTGTTTGTACCTCGCGATCTTCTGTCGCGAATTGCTTGGCCCCTTCTACAAAAGCTGGACTGCCATTTCTGCCGTCGAACGAAGAGTTTGGTGCAGGTCTTGTGATCCCATCAACCTCATGTGCGCTGAAGACGGGAAAGAGTGCGCCAATATCCAGATCAGGATGAAATTCGTCCCAGCTTCTTTCTTCTCTCGGCTTGAACCCATCGCCATGCACCACTGCAGCGGCTGCGGCGGCGGCAGAGCTGAATCGAGGTCTTGCTGGAACACGTTCTCTTCGACTTTCGCGACGCGGACGTGGAAACTCGACTGGTGACACCCCGTTGGCTACATTCTCGCGCCCTAGTCTCCCCCTTGGTCCAGTGTAACTGTAATCTCCCGGGCCTGTTCCACTGACTGCCAATTCCGTCCCCTCGGAAGTCAGATACCGGCCACCGCCGCCAGGACCACCCGGTACATATTTTCGACGTTTCGACGACCGTGTCTCACCGATGGAAGGACTTTCGGCAGAAGAAATCTGTGGATCAGACCTTCGGTTAGATCTTGCTCGGGTGTTGAAAGCGCGGCGGCCACTGGATGAAGGAAGAGGCGCCATCACTGCGCTCGTAGTGTACGATCAGCTCGCGTTGCTGGTGTGGTAAGCTCAGCATTTGCTGACGTGTGAGTTCATGAATTTGTTTGGTTTAAGGATTGTATGGAGTCACCAATCTGTGAAAGGTGGGATGCACGGATCAGTGCGTGCTCGCAGGGGCAGTCGCCATTGATGAGGCTCATTGCAGAGATGAGGTTCAGAACGCTAGCTCGGCTCAGGAAAAGCTTCGGGCCGCGGAATAACGCGCTAAATATGGCACTAAATTCGCTCCGAGATAGCAGTCTAGAGTACCTACCTGGGTGCTTCTATACCTCAGCCAATGCTAAATAAAATACCGTTAGCATAGTTTCAGGGTGGCTGCGCCATATTTGTATAGGCGCCACACCAAAATAAGGCGACACGTCGCGGAGACATCGTTGTCGTCGTCAGCGATCTCGCTACTACTTACAATGGGGCGGGAAATAGAACGGGGAAGACTTTCAGGCTAGCCATCGCAGTTCGCCTACATTACTACCTATCAAGGCGGAATTTGTATAGAAGATATAGCGAAGTTAGTGATCTACTATAAAGGTTTCGAAAGATCTCGCTGTCGCCTCTTATAAGATAGAGAAGACTTCTAAATAACCACCGAGGCTCGCAGGCCTTACTACCGCTCAGAGCGGAATTTGTATAAGAGATGTAGCGGAGTTGACAGTCTACTATGGGGGGTTCAGAGATACCTCGCTGTCGCCATAGAGGGGTTCCATTGGGGGTTCCATTATATCTATTATTAGCGGCTCCTTTAAGGTCTCTTAGGCACTCTGCTGTCAAATAGAGCCCGTCATTTAACGTAATATAGCCACCCACTGAGCGGAAACTCGCTCTCTCACATTATTCTAACGAGAAAGTAGCTTAACGCGTCTCTGGGGTATAAGAGGTAACTTCAGCATTATTGACGCCAGCTTCGGAGGTATTACTGGAGCGGGCTTACTACCCTTGCTACCTCTTCGAGGGTATTTTTTCCACTCGTCTAGGGAGGTAGACGCCTTACGTTTGTAGGAGGAGGGGGAGGTAGAGGGCTTCGAGGAGGGCGATAATGACCTAGACGCGTCAGAATAGATGGGCCTGCTTCACTCGCCATCGCTGGGGCCACTATCTTCTTCCTCAAGTGGCAAAAATTCGTCCGAGTACTCTGCCTCCGGGGTGCGGTCTGGCGCACGAGGCGGGGGTATGACATTGAGGCTATTGAGAATGATATACGCGAAGATTTGACGATAGCGAGGTGTGAGAGGGGTGGGAGGGCAGAGGGTGGCGACAGCGAGGTATGGGGAAGACGGTAAGATCAGCCAGGACGTGTCCCCTATTTACTACTGCAATCTCTTACTAATCAGGGGAATGTGGCTGGGTCGGCCTAATGGCTCTCCGGTACTGTACACTAGCGTTGGCTGAGGTTTAGAAGCACCCACCTAGCTGACCTTAGAGCAGTGAAGATGAGCAAAAAGCTCTTGCTGGAGTAACGGTAGCTATCTACAAGGATCGCGGACAGGACGTCAACGGGACCCCTAGCACTTCAGTCAGTCCAGACTTTCAAATGTCGAACAATGCCTGGGCTAGCAACGGCCGCGACAGACAACATTCATACAATCCACCCTCAGAAGGCCCTCCGACACCCTCCTTTAATTCTCAAGAGGTGCGAGATTGCTTGAAAAATGGTAAACTATAGAGACATAGCATCTTATGACTAAATTTTGACGCGTATCAGCAATCAAAAACCTCACCTCCGAAGAAGTCAAAGCATCAAAGTACCAGCCGGGAGCCGCAAATAATACGAGATCTGGGCAAGCTTGGGCTTCCAATCGTATGTCTACCAGCCTTCAAAACTCACTTTACTCAGCACTGATGATCTATAGCCAAGAACATGAGCAATGGTAAAGACTTCTACGTCGAGCTTCGCAAACAGGTGACCGCCATGCAACAGGGTGGCGAACGTGCTGGTGTGTACATTTCGTTGCATTTATACCTCATCTGAAGTTGCAAGATAAATTCCGGAAGCGGAATGGTTCTTTATTCCATTAGAACTGCCTCATTACTCGAATTATTGCTCGGAAGAAGAGATGCTGACTCCGAACTCTCCATAGGCGGATGAGTTAAAGACAAACGATACACATCAACCCCTAGAGCCTTCCCGTCTCTGCTACATAAACAGGACTCTAGAATAGGGGCTCGCCTTGGGACTTTTTGGTCCCCACTCAAGCTTGGCGGCACTCAGCAAAGCAGCAGTACAGCAAACGCTGCATATCGACAACAGCCAGGCCTAAGATCGAGAAACACGCATGTTTACCTTGTTGGCCTCTTCGCTGCAAGATCGTGGTAGCCCACTTGATCAGCTATTCGACGCTGATCATACGCTTGGCGTCTACTTCATACGAGGTGTACCTGCGGGACTAGAATGTGTTCAAAATGTGTGGCCACAGCATTGCTTCTACACCGCATGTCTTAATAGGGTCCAGGCGTGCTTTCAGAACAAGCGGCAGTTGCATGAACTTAGTCTACAGAGTACTTTCCACAGAAACACTAGGCGTGGATCGAATAAACACCCCAAAAGCTTCCTCTCCGCTCCTCGGCATGATAAAGTTTTGAGGTCGCACCCCTAGGCTGCTTGATAAAGTAATAAAGCGAAGCGTCTTGTCTTGTGCTTAGTGCCTCAGTCTGCACTTCGACTCACCAACAAAAAAGCAGGCACTCGAACATCGCGCATTAGCTCGGTACCCTAGGCTATCCGATAATGGAGGTTGGGTGCAAGCTAATCCGCCATAGGCAGGTAAATTTTCCGTCTCACTGCGTTTGATTGTCCGACTGGTTGGTGTTCATCCGACATGTGCAGAGGCTTGCATAAATTTCGTTATCCCACCGCAGCGAGCGCAGAGAATCTACCCCACCTGCAAGAACCAGCGCTTAGCATCGAAACAACCACTCTGATTCGCTAAGCCCATTCGCAACTGAGGGTTTTCTTCTTGTATACCGTGGATGGAAACTGGGGAAGACAAGATATATAGACGCTTCGCAGCTCCAATTACTGTTCTCTCTCCACCCCTTGCTCCACTACCTGTCCTTGTCTTTGATTTAGTACTTGCCAATTTCTTCTCATCTGATCGATTGGCTGGTCCAATTCTGACATCGCTATCTCCTTTCCTTGATCAAACACGCTTCTCACATTACTCCCATACCTTTCCTGTTGACCAGGCCATCTTCCTCCCTCATCCTTGCATTCTTCAGCAATCCGCCACAAGGCTCCCACGATTTACATCATCCTTCCCTCACCAACATTCATCATAATCCCGACGCCACTGTCAATATGCTTGCCCGAGCAGCCAGACCTAAGCTTGCCGTTCTCACCGCCACACCGACTACCCTCACTAAGTCTCCCCTTCCACGGACACCCCTCTCACCTTCCCCAATGAGCCCTACAGTCCGTAATACCCGCCTCAACCAGCGAGGTTTCTCCACCTTGCAGCCACCTACATTCGCTTACGCCGAGCCCTCAAATACCAAAAGCATTCTTAAGAAGGGACAAACTTCACGCTCGACAGGAAAGAAGCTTCAGTTCAGAGAGGAGCCTGCGGTCCGATGCATCAGTCCTGTTCCAGAGGATTACCACGGCACATACGTGAAGATGAGCAAGGACGAGCGAAGATGGGGAAGCGGCAGGAGCTTGTGAGAGGGAAATGGAAGGGTAGTGGGGGCCGCATTCCCTACTTTGCCTCTGGTCGAGCGGTCTTCCGCCCGGAACACGCGCCGAGCCGTTGGAGCTCTCCGGGTGATAGACAAGGCTATGTAGCAGAAGACCGTGGGGAGAGGCTAACATATGAGGACGTATTCATGAGATAGATGACAATGAAGCATGACATTTGCAAACGTACTCTCTGGTGACGTGGATACATCTCGTGACAATGATTTCATGGGATGAATAATCGCCATGGAGCTAAGACTGCAAATATAGCTTTGACGTTGAAGGCTCACAACCTGCCACGAAAATGTGTTCCGTGGTTTCCGTTTGGTCCTCATTATCTTAAGCTAAAAGTGTTAAAAGAACCGAGCAAGTCTAAACGACCGAGCTGAGACCTTCCTGATACTCTGCAAGGTCCCACAGCAAATATTCTGAGAAACATGGTCCTAAGTGTACGGAATCGCGTTAGAATTACGGAAAGCTGAACCTAGCATAAGCACTTGGACGACGTAGGAGAATTAACCCGAAAGCCGTTGAAAGATAGCCCCGCAACATCCCGCCCACGAAAGCCGAAGTTCAGGTGACGAGCGAGGCGGTGCAACAATGGTGGTGATGGGTATGTACGTACCTGCAGTAGCCGTACCTGAAATTTTAACTCGAGTAGGTAAGCGTCAGGGGGCGAAGCCAGCTTTCTTCAAGGCAATTTGAGGCACGCTGGCAATACGTATCGTTCTTGTTCCAGGGCGAAGTCGGCCAAGCCAAAATCTGAAACCCGAGGACTTTGTGTGTCAGATTGGATTCAGCAGACGAGGCAAACTTCTCAAACACGAGGACTCGTGTTTAGAAAGGAGCGCGGTAGATGATGCTGCGCCCATGGATGATGGTGAAATCCCCAAAATTTGAAGGCAATTTGTGAGGCTCTGTTCTCAGCGTTCTGCCATCACAGCACATTGTGGTCATGTGGGAAAGAGTCGCTCCCGGATGTCTGTCCGAGCACCCATCGTTGCATCGCATTGTCAAGCCGGAGATGAAGTTAAACCAATACACACATTTACACTTATCTGTTACATCAACGGCGTAGTTGCCGTAACCGGTAGGGTTTTCCTCCAGAAGATCACTTCGGCGCAAGGTCTACTGTTTACAAGGTGGAATATCCGTGGAGGAGTCGGCGAGGCTCCAAAAGTCAAAAGCCATCCCCAAATTCTCAATGTGCCTCTGTGCCTCTGTGCCTTCTGTGCCTCAAACAAAGTCCTTGACTCTCAGCACGAACTGATGGATACATTGCGATTGCAGCGCATGATGGAGATCTGCACACCCTCTTCCCAGGTTTCCCCACTCGGCCAGCTCGCCGATTTTTGCACTGTGGTAGGCATCAGTAATGCAGAGAAAGGGCAGATCAAAGCCTCAATCTTTTAGAAGTTTAAAAGTAAAGTAGGTAAGTACACTTCAGTAGAGAAGGGTGACCCGAAAATAGAAGTGATCTACACCCATCGTAGACTAGCTCCCGCCCTTGGCACCGCGCTTACTTGCTCCCAACCGCCGGACCAGCAAGCATGGAACAAAGATAGAACAGATAGAACGGAGAAGTCAGCACCTAAGATAATTGGCCTATAGAACGAGACCTCCTCCAAACTTGCCGGGTCTTCATAGGTCGACCTTGTTGACGCTTCTTCCCCTCGTGGCCGAAGAAAGCTATGTTTCACATTTTAGCTCACTAAAGAAAAACATTCCAACAATAGCCCTTCTCTAGCCCTCTGGCGCCAAGGCCAAAACAGGTACCGCCAGAGACCGCCATCATGGCCTGCATACCCAGCTTGCTGCAAAGGATTATAAGTTCGTATGCTTCGCCTCAACCGCATCATGTTTACTTCTTCACAACGCAGGAGTAGTCGGTAAAACACGACCAGCGATCAGGGGCATTCTCTTACTGGTACCTTCTCTGCTTCTCTGCTTAGCCTTCTCTGTTTCTTCGCTTTTCCTTACCATCCACATGCTTCCTGCATCATAAGCCTTTCCTAGCTTCATCTTGCATATATAACCCCGCGTCCTGCCTTGTCTTCCAGACGATCTTTTCCTTTCTCTGTATCTCTTCCTTCTCCTTCCTCCCGGTGAGGTTACATCACAGTCAATCATTACGTACTTTTCTTTATCATAAGATGCCCAGAGCACCCAAGCCCACTACTACACAACATCGATCAACGCCTTACCCAGTCGCTACTTCAACCACCTTATTACCTTCAGCTATGGCGTCCCATCACACATCATCCCAGGCCTCGGCCTCGGCCTCGGACCGTCATGCATCCCAGTCCTGGCCTCCAGAGAACGACGAGCTGCTCATGCAAGCTCGCCAACGAGGTCTCAATTGGCAACCCATTGCCTCCCAGTTCTTCCCAGACAAGACCGCCAATGCCTGCCGCAAGCGCCATGAAAGACTCATGGACAAGCGGAACAGCGCCGATAATTGGGACGGCGTCAAGGTAGAAACACTAGCCAAAGCCTACGTCGACGTCCGCGAGCAAATGTGGAAGATCCTCGCCGACAGGATCGGCGAAAAGTGGCAGAATGTTGAAGCAAAGGTATGCCACCCTACTTGTGATCGAACAAAGTATACATTGGTTAACAAGTGATCTAGTGCATGGAGAAAGGCCTGAAGACCCTCCAGACAGCGGGCCGTACAGCCTCACGGCGCGAAGCTCGCGCAAATCTAGGCCATGACTTCGACTCCGACGAGATCATAGACAGTCGCTTTCCGCCATCCCGGCGTGAGCGCTCCCGATCGCATCAAGATGAAGAAGACGGCTTCAACGATAGCGCCATTGGTCCTGAAGATCATCCATTCGTCAACGGCAATGCTTTCGGATCGAGCAGAGATGACCACCAGCCAGCCTCTTACTCCGCTGGCGGCATATCTAATACTTCACCTTCCTATAGCTCCGCCCGGTCGTTTAGCATCAACAGCAATGCCTCCTCTTCATTGGCAGGGTTTACGCCCACAGTGACAGCCGCACCTCAATTTCCTTCTATTCACCAGCAACCACAGACACTTCCGAGCTTCAGTGCTGCCTTTGGCATGCCAAGTATCTCAGCCGTTTTGCATCACTCGCCGCATCATTCGCCGGCTGTTACGACTCACTAGCACAATAACGACGAACGGATATTGCACTCTGACTTATACTACTTACGATACCTTTTTAGACCTCTTTCTTTTCTTATCAGCCTTCGTTTTCTACGTTTATATTTGCGGGGAACACGTTACAATGTGAAGAGGACGATTTTCCTTAATTTTTTGTACAATTAGAGATGCTGGTGTATGACTACCAACTTTCTTTAATTTCAGATTTACGAAAAAGCGTGCTTCATAGCTTGTATCATTAACTGTCTAATGCTTAAACGTCTTATCCACGATCACCACCACCACCACCTCAAGACTTGCTATATATCCCGTTTTCTCCAATACTCCGCACCCAGAATCCCTCGATCTTCTGCATTGGGGTCAATTGACCACTATACCATTTCGGTGTCAGAGATTCTCTTCTTGGACGGGTTCCTGAGTCTGATGACATGTTTGAAGAATATGGAAAGGGTATCAACAGTTCAGGAAGGGCGCTTACTTTCGGTAGCGGTCTGCATCTCAAATCGCTCTCCCATCCATTCTCATATATCTCCATGCCCGTCCAAGCAATCATAGCGGCATTATCGGTGCATAGCTCAACGGGTGGGAAGGTGAGCGTGACGTTTTGGAAACCACGGGCTGTGAGGAAGGAGCCGAGCCTATCATGATCCTAGTCAAAAAATGCCAACACATGACTGCAAATAGCAACATCAACGGCAAGGACTTACACAGTTCTCAGAAACGCATTGCTAGCCACGCCGCCGCTAACAACTAATGTTCCTACCCCGCTCCCTTTCTTCCTCAGATCTCGTAATGCCAATACCACTCTACTGGCCAAATGTTCAAACGCAAGCCTCATGCTCTCGCTCGCCAGCTCTATCCTCTCCTCATCTTGCATCTTCTCTCTCCCTTCATAGATCCTCTTTACCGCACTACCGAGTCCGGAGAACGTAAACTCCATGGCTTTACTCTTTGATCCTGACCTCGTTTCCGCAAGTGGTGGGACGAGCGCCCAGCCCCATTTGGTAGAATTTCTTGCAAGCTCTTCTGCGCGACTAGTGGGTGCAGTGTAATTGTAATCGGCCGAGCCATTGGGGAAAGCAAAGCGCTCAAGATGGCGGCCGTACATTATATCCGATCCTTCCTTCAATACATCAGGTGGGAGCACCAATCGCGCGATTTTGTCGATACAGTCGCCAATAGCTATATCTGTCGTCGTAGCGAGTATGGCATGATCGCATATTTCCTTCGAATGCACGAGCAAAGTGTGACCTCCTGAGACGAGCAGAGAGAGGAATGGGAAAGGGGGCGCTGCGTTGGGAGAACTGCCAGAAAGAGCCGAAACGAGGCGAGGCGTGAGCGCGTGTGCTTGCATGTGATTGACGCCCACGAGAGGGATTTGCCACGCGACCGCGAGGCCTTTCGCGGTGTCCAGGCCGGTAGCGAGGCTGGAGCGCATACCCGGTCCACGAGTGACCGAGATAAAGTCGGGCTTGGAGTTTCCTGTATTTGGCAAGACGTGGAGGGCCTCTGAAATCAGAGCCGCTAGATTCTCCTGGTGGGATTCGAGAGATACAATTGGGTGCACGCCGCCATGGGCGCTGTTGTTGGCTGTGATTTTCTGGTGGAAGTGGAGCTGTGTATGAGGCGCCGCATCATTGGATTTTTGGAGTATTGCTACCGATGTGTCGTCACTACCACACTCTTGTCAGAATAGATGGTGAATAATTAGACCAAGAGGTCATTTATACCATGAGGTTTCAATGGCAAGGGTCAAGAGCTTGCGGCGGCTATGCGCGAGATTTGCTGCTCGTGCGAAGGAAAGTGCTGGACGTCGCAGACATCTTGAATGCAATACCAGCATCCGTTTACCGGCAATAGCTAGGAAGCAGAAATCACAAAAGCATCAAAGCACCATGTCCTATAGTAACTGTCCACTCGTGCCACTCTATCAGGCACTCGAGGGAGCATGGCGAAAAAATACCGCGGCGGAATTGGTCCGTGCCCGACAAAACCCAAAACAGATGGCCTGTTGGAAGTCAATTTCATTCACCTCGTCCGCGTTGATCACCCTTGAATCCCCATTGAAAGACCCTCGCGCCTCGTCTCAAACATGTCTCGTTGGTCAAGACCTACGCAGGAGAAGCAGCACTAGCAAAAGGGTTTCTTGACAACCTATAACCTCTCCCTAACCCCTGGAGAAGCTCGGTGGACCCTTTTGCGGAGGCTACGAAGACCCAATCTCTGAGACAGAACGAAGCAGAAAGCTCTCCTCGCCTGTGGGCACTTGTTGAGAGGCCATGGCGACTGCGAAACAAGCCGTCACGGAATCTCTCCTAGGGACAACGAGAGAGCCCGAACTTTCACAACAGACCAAAGCTACATTCGACCGCAATGCGAGGCAGGATGAGGTTACAGATGATTACTATATGACCGAGGAGGATTTTGTGAATGCAATTGCACCCGCCAGTGAGAACTATGTAAGCTCTCGCCCCAGGCTTGCTCCGTTCAAAAATTGCTTGCGAAAGAGACCTTCTGCTGACCTTGTTTCGGTCGCAGCACAAAATAAAAAGGGAGCAATACGCTATCTTGTTCCAGATCGCGGATCGAAAGAGGATTGGACGAATAACTTTGCAAGACTGGGGGAGCTTCGAGAATCTACTTGCCAAACCGGACGCTGAGTACGAGATTGCCTTTCGTCTCTTCGACGAAAGTGGCACAGGCACAATCAAGTACGACGATTTCCAGAGACTCTACAATATTAACAAGGGATCCGACACGATTCCATTTGATTGGGGCAGTGAGTGGGCATCCCTATACGTGGGATCAAAAAAGCACCGTCACGATATCACATATCCACAATTCTCCCAAATGCTGCGGGGCCTACAGGGCGAGAGGATACGGCAGGCATTCCATATCTTTGACAAAGACCACGATGGATACATAGAGCCCGAAGATTTCCAGCGCATCATTCTGGAGACTGCACGGCACAAATTGTCAGATCATTTACTCGAAAACCTACCTACCCTATGCAATATCTCGACAGGCAGCAAAATCTCGTACGCGAACGTGCGAGCGTTCCAGAACGTCATAAGGGAAATGGACTTGGTCGACCTCATTATTCGGAACGCCACCAAGAAGAGCCAGGATGGTACAATCACACGCACAGATTTTCTCAATGAAGCGGCACGGATAACAAGATTTTCTCTAATTACCCCCATGGAGGCTGATATTCTCTTCCATTTCGCCGGCCTTGACGCACCCTCGGGTCGACTGTCGCTCCAAGACTTTGCCAAAGTTCTCGACTCTTCATGGCAGAGCGCATATGCGCTGGGAATCGGGGCAGCAGGTGCTGCCTCAGAGACAGCCGAGAAAGCCATCTCGACGACACGAAGATACTTACATATTGTACTGGAGTCCGCACACCATTTCGCTCTTGGAAGTATAGCAGGTGCTTTTGGCGCCTTCATGGTGTACCCAATCGACTTAGTGAAGACGAGAATGCAGAATCAACGAAGTCAACGCGTTGGGGAGATGTTGTATAAGAATTCCATCGATTGCGCGAGGAAAGTCATCAAAAATGAAGGCGCGAAAGGCCTGTACTCAGGGGTTCTCCCACAGCTGGTCGGTGTGGCGCCTGAAAAGGCTATCAAGCTCACAGTCAACGATTTGATCAGAGGCCACTACAGTAATCCGGAATCGGGAGCCATCTGGTGGCCACACGAAATCGTTGCTGGCGCTTCAGCAGGTGCCTGTCAAGTGGTACGTCGTACGTCTTTCGTCTCAAAATCGTTTTGCTGACTTAGAACCAGGTCTTCACGAACCCTCTGGAAATCGTCAAAATAAGATTGCAAGTACAAGGAGAAGTTGCCAAGACAGTCGAGGGCGTTCCTCGAAGATCTGCAATGTGGATCGTGAAGAACTTAGGTCTGGTCGGCTTGTACAAAGGTGCAAGTGCTTGTTTGCTGCGCGACGTGCCGTTCTCCGGCATATATTTCCCAACTTACAATCACCTCAAACGCGACTTTTTTGGCGAAGGCCCAAATAAGAAGTTAGGTATAATCCAACTCCTCACCGCAGGCGCGATTGCTGGTATGCCCGCAGCATACCTCACCACGCCTTGCGATGTCATTAAGACTCGTCTTCAAGTCGAAGCCCGGAAAGGTGACACTAAATACACCTCTCTCCGGCACTGTGCGAGTACTGTATACAAAGAGGAAGGCTTCAGAGCTTTCTTCAAGGGCGGACCAGCTCGAGTGCTGAGATCGTCGCCCCAATTCGGTTTCACGCTTGCAGGTTACGAGGTCCTACAGAAGCTGCTGCCCATGCCAGGAAGCCAGAGCGAAGGACTTTCAATTGGGGGCCACGCTGAGCCTGCTGTCGGATTACAAGAAGCGAAGGCACCGTTGCCGTATTTGAGAAGTCGAAATGCACTAAAAGTCATCCTAGATTTGGACGAGAATTTTGGGAGGCCCAAGATCCCCGCTGGCAAGGGTTGGGTGCCGCTGTCGGGGGTTGGTGCGAATTGATTGCATAGTAAGGGTGGGTGAATCATAGAGTGACATTAATAGTAGGTGGTATGCATGGCGCGCGGCTCGTTCTTTCTACTGCATTGCATCAGAAGTCCAGAGATTTCGAGACGAGTCCATAGACAGGTTGCACATCAGCTTCACAGACTTTGTACAATGAATAGACAGTAGAGGTCTCAGGCCGCCTCGGACTTTACAGAGTCAATATTGCCTTCCAGATCAGCCCCGACCGCTCTCTCCAAGATTCTTACAAACGCTTTCCTTTTCTTCTCCTCTTCATCTTTAGCCTCAATATCCTTCACGTCAAGCTTCTTCCAATGCTCATCCAACATATCACTCATTTCCTCCGCACTACCAGGCAACCCCAATTTCTCCGCCGCCGCCAGCGTCCTCTGATCAACGAAAGGATAAACCTTCGGCCAAACACCCTGTATCCTTCGCGCGAAAATGTCGAGCCCCGTCTTCCCCAACCCCTTCACATTCTTCCTCAACATCTCCCTCTCCCTTTCATAATCGTGCTCACTCTCCTCTCTCACCCGCTCCAGACTCACGTCCTCGTCCCCATATCCCAAGCTGTTGACGACTGCGTCGGCGAGCAGCACCAGCTCTTCGGCCGTTCTCTGCCGGTGCTGCGTCCGCGCCTTATCCAAAGCTTCCCTGCAGCCCTCGTTTCCGGCTTCTCGAATCTTCTTCGGCGTGGTGAATTCGTACGGCGCATTGAAGATCGTTCGGATGGATCGCAGCCCTAGCATGTGGCCGATAGGCCGGCTCAGTATGACGGCGCAGACGAGCTCTTCGAACGGGGTGAAAGTGGATGTGCTATAAGTTTTGGTTTCCGCCCCACGGGCCTGGAGGTCTTCGATCTCGTCTTTCGGACGGCAAAGGTCCAATGAGGTGGGCGAAAGTAGAAAGTGGAGCATCTTGACGACGTCGACTGGGGCGGAAGGTGTGCTGCGAGCGGAGCGGCGTGGGACTTTGTTTGGTCCAGATGCGGCGGGCGCTTTCCGCTTCTTAGATGTTCCATTAGATTTGCTCGTTGAGGGTTCCTCTTTGGATTCAGCCGCTGGTTTTGCGCCGGCCTCGGTGGACTTGTCGACAACAAAATCTTTGGTCTGAGCTTTTTTGGGAGGCATTGCAGTCGATAGTCAGAGGATTGAATGGTGGTGGGAAAGCCATCGTGTCAAGCACCGGATGTCAGGGGGTTTTGCGCCAAAATACAATAGGTCGACGTCATGAAGCAGCCCCTGGAAAGCGATTGAAGTTGCCCTTACAGTAGCTTGACGCGCCAAACACGCGAAGTGCCAAGCATCGTGCTTTTCGAATCTACGATGGGAACTCCCGGGAGTGGTTTCCCAAGCTAGCATCCTTGTCCCACTGCCACACATTCACATTCTGATTGATATTGATCTATTAGCCTTTCATCTGGAGAATAATTCCTGTCTCAAAGTTCCGTATTAGTATCGTCTTTGGGTCCAATTGAGATATGACGAGCTCTCCCAGCAAGAATGCTCCTCATCTACCTCCTTCCTCTGCAGGTCCACACCTCGGTTCACCTAGAAGCCTGGGCCGACTTCGACAGCAAAAATCCGCTCATCAACTGTCATCCAATTACTCTGCACTCAACGGTCCTTCTCTGATATCACAGCAACGGCAGCAGCAGCGAATTACAGGCATAACGCAGAATACCCCAATACCACCTCCACCTGTCCCCGCCATACCTTCGCCGCAGAAGCACATCCGAGCACGCTCCAACAGCGATGCGGTGGTCCCACATCCAGTAAATGGTGGACCCTCGCTGAAGCGAATCCAAGTGCCAAAGAAGCCTATAGACCCCAAAGACGAATTAAGGTCTCTCATACGACATGGACCAAGAAGTGATATGCCGGATGCACTACAGAGTCTTCGACACTGGATCTTGGTTGACGGTTTAGAGGCGGACAATGATGGCATGGTAAGGTTCTGGCAGCACCTCAAGGATGACTGCTGATACGGCTTTCGTAGTCTGATCTCCGCATCTATGTCTGGCTGATCCTCCTAAACTGTCCACCACTTTCAACAGACATCTACCTCAATCTAATACGCCGTGGCCCTTCCCCAGCATACGCTAAAATACGCAATGATACGCATCGCACTCTGATGACAAACGTGCTGTTTCAGCGACGAGTCCGGGAAAACTCCATTATCCGCCTTCTCAATGCAGTGGCTTGGAAATTGTACGATGCTAAGTCAGATCGATTGACTGATTCGGGTAGAATCACCAATGCCTCCAACGACCTTGGCAGCCCAGAATTACAACATGCTTCGCCAGCTATAAAGCACGCAAAAGGAGCCTCGA